CTACACCCGTGTTTCATTTTCGCAATGTCATGCCCCCTTATTTTATATCATCCATGTGTTGCATTTTTTCTGGTATCGAGGGGGAACTATTTTTCACTCGTACCAACTCACCTTACCATACTCATTCCTCGCCATCCTGTTTTATTTGATTTTTTTGTCTTTATGCTATGTTATTCATTCTAGGGGCTCGGAGAGTATTTACAATGTCTACCGCTCGCGCGGGCTGGGAAATGGGGATAGGACAGGCAACTGGGATTTGGTTCATTTCTTCAATTAACTATTCTTTTTATTTTTACTCTTTATCTCTTTGCTACCTTAACTACATACCCCCCTAAGTAACTAGTTACCTCCCTAACTATCTGCTCATTCCTTTCCTTTTTCTTATGCAGTTTTGAACCGTGCCAGGCAGAGGTGGACAGCAACATTGGAATTTACAAGGCAATTTGAAATCGGTAGCGGGAGGATGCAGAAAAGACAGTCACCATATTAACTAGCTAGCTGCCAAATAACAATTTCTGAGCTTGTCATCTACTTCGTCCGTTCTTATGCGAATAGTAGTAACACTCTGCGTACAGAATTGCGCAAAATCGCATATCCCTATTCGTTGCGTTTCCATGTACAGTCTCACAACAGCTCTCTGGCCGCCTGGAACGGCTGGCTGGCTCTTCTCTGGCTTTCGAGTCCCGAACTTCGACCTGGCCAGGGCGTCGAGAAGACGCTCGGTGACCCTTCATGGCGGATACGGCGTTCCCTGTCTTCCACCGTCATATCCTCTTTGCCTTCGTGACCCGTCCTGTAGCAAGTCAGGCTCTGCGTCCTGCCAACGCGGCCACCCAAGACCAACCACCTAGCTAACGAACGCATGGCAAAAGAGCGAAGCGAAAAGGTAAATGAAAAAAAGAAAGAAAGGAAAGAAAGGCAAAAGAAATAGAGTACGAGAAGTCTTGTCCATCGGCTGTCCCAGTCTACTATGTTTATTTTGTCTATTTACCGTTGCATCGGGTCAATGGAAGATGTTATGGAGGGTGCGTAGGATGTCAGTGTGCATGTAGGGTAAGGGTAGGGATACAGTGGAGAGAGGCAGAAGGTCAATACCACGGCCACTTCTCACGGCATGCAGACAAGTAGTTATGATGTAACAATGTATATAACCGTCCAATATAGTTTGGACCGACAGGGCGCTTATGCGGAGAAAAATCAATGGGGATGAGCGGTCAGGTAGGTTGCATGAACGATATCGGAAGTTATACTTGGTTTCCGCGGGAGGCATGACAGTGCTGAGCGCTGTCGGGCAACATGGATCTGTGTGCAGGCGGGATAGAGATGGTGGTAAAAAAGAGAGAAATGAGGCCAGAGAGAGGGAGGGAGGCAGCAAGGGAGAGGTGGATGGCGGCATGATAGAAGTGACAGCAAGGTACTCTCTGTATACTCTGCCGTGCCAGGCAAGATACAAGATATGGACCGGTCGCAAGAGCAAAAAGGCCCGTTCTCAAGTCAAGCAGCTCTTGGTGCATGAGTGTAACGACAGACCCCTGGTGCTGGTCATGCGTGTGTTAGGGTCTGTTGCCACTTTGAGCAGCCCAAAAGGAGTATTCTATCGTGTCAATGCCGTCCCGATGGGATCGGGCGAGAGAGAGAGAATGAGCGTGAGTGAGCGCATAAAGGAAGGGCAAAAAAAAAAAGTCAATAATATTAAACATATATACAAGTGAGTAATGGGAGCATTAAATAAATACGTCACCAAGTTTAAAGACTCAGGCCAGAAATAAGGAAAGTGAGAGAGGAAGGGGAGGAAAGGTGAGTGAGAAAATCATCCATTGGTTGTTGTTATTGATGCAGTCGACCATGAAACTCCTCGTTCGTTCATCAGCTCGGTCACGCTATGCTCGCCCATTTCAGGAATCAGCTTAACGAGAACGAGCTCGACAATCGAGTAGATGAGATGCTTGTTACAATAAGAGTCTGAAAACAGGTCGAGGAGGTCATGTTCGATGGCGGATAGTAGGGCAGCATCCTCCTCGTCCTTGTAATCCTTCGATGCCATACCTGAGTTGGACTTTGGCAGATTAGGGCCGTCATCGGTGGACTTCCCGTCTCTATTATTGCGATCATGACTGCCCTGAGCTTGGAGGGTTTGTCGATGGGTGCCTCGCCCACCATGTCGACCATCTTGACGGCTCGGATTTGAATCGTTTGCCAATCCCGGTTCAGATCCAGCGCCTGGTAGAGGCGAGTCGATTCTACTATCAACCGAAGACTCGGGAACGCTGGATTGAACGAACGGGTCCGGCTTGTCCTTGGCCGTGATACTGGCTGCCTCTGGGGAAAAATTCCCATCTGTTTGATGAATTGCGAAAAGAGTCAAGGCGATCCGGCGAGGAATGAGTGCGAGTATACTCGCAGCACATGCCCGCTTAATCGTTTTTACCTCTGTTGTAGATGGTTTTTCAGATCTAGACGAGGAAGCGTCTACCATGCTGGCTTGAGGCGAGGCTGTATTAAGCGATGCCTGCGTCTCCTGTAAGGCATTGCTGCTGCTGCTACTAGTCTGGATGCGATTTTGACCATCAGTATTTGAACCGCTGCTGGCAAAGGTGCCGATCTCGGCGTCTGAACCAGGGGTGGAAGGCTGCTGCTGTTGTGTGGCCGCAGAAATCCCGGAAACCCGCGTTAGGCTGGCCCTACCATTAATTGGAAAGACCGTCGTTCGGATCGCAAGCAGCAAAGACGGCAAAGTTGTGGCAGTCAGGAGATACTTGCGAATACAATCACGAAGAAATCTATTATTAAAATCGTTAGCAATGCCATCGCCCTTAGGGGCATTAGAGTAGTAAAGAAGGACCCTGAAGGAAGAACAGAGGGGAAAAAATCAATGCAGAAACTAGTCTCAAAAAATAGTAGGAGCTGGTTAAACGAGACTGCAAGGGTAACAAAGGACATATTCGTGGACAGAAATAAAAATACAAAAGGAAAAAAGGACATATTCGTGGACAGAAATAAAAATACAAAAGGAAAAAAGGACACTGGTTGGTTGGCAGTGGATGGATGAATCGCCATGCCAATTGGCGCCCAGTGATGCTGAATCCTGAAGAATGCAAAAGGTTGGAGGCTTGCGGAAGGGAGGAAGGCCCGTCCCACAGATCAGCGCGGAGGAGGATGGATTGATTCCTCGATGCACATTGGATATCAGAGAGAAAGGCGCATGCACTCCGTACTCGAGTAAGAATCCCCGGCCGCGCAAGGGGAAGCCGTAGTCGTATTGTAACGGAGCCCGGTAAGGAAAACAGAGACTGGTAATACGAATACCAGGGTATCAATACACTAATACCGCGTACGCATGGTGACGATACGGGGTTCTCATTCTTTTTTAAATTTTTGCTTTTGCATCTCTTTTTTGCTCTTTTGTGGTCCTCTTGAGTCGCTTGGAGCATGGAGATCCTGATTGGGCATAGCCCTACCCTCCATAAAATCAAGTGACTGAAGTGCTATGCATGAAAACTGGAAACTCAAAATGAGATCCCTGCCATGCGATCTGATTGCTTGAGGCGTTCGCTCAAGATCGATGCTTGGATGGAGCACGGGTGAATGAAGACGGCCATTCATCCATCCTATCAAAGGCGTAGGTGGGGAGAGGCGAAGAAACGGGCGGACGCTCTTCGATAACAAAACACAAGAAGTTTATATGGAGACCTCAAATTACCCAACGGTCATGGCGAAAAGGAAACGGGAAATGGCATGCGCAAAGCAGAGCACAGAGCAAAGCACAAAGCAAGAAGTGGGCTCGACCGTCAAAACAAACTCGCAAACTCACCTGTCAATCACTCCATCTGCCGTTCCAATTTTGCCTGGGCCTGTCATTAAAAGGTGGTAGACAAGGGCCAGAATCCCTCCAAGCCATGGCATTCGGCTTGATATGTCAAGAAGCTGCGAAATCACGCTAAAGATTCGATACTCCAAAACGGGCAATCGCACGATGTTACCCTTGGATCGGGAAGGGGTTGCCTCTTTAGAGTTGATACTATTGCTAGCATATGCTGGGGATGAGGTTGTTGTCGTTGACGATGATGAGGATGAGACACGAAACAACCCCAAAGCCACGAACCGAGATGCAACATAGGCTATATAGCAGTATTGCATCAGGCTGAAAAGGGTTGATAGGAGGACCGATTGGCTTCTCTGAGTCGAGTAGCTGCCAAAGTTAGATGATCGTTCCTGATCAGGTTCGGGATCGCCTTTCTCTAGATTGCCACTGTGGTCGTGTTCCACACCATCACTTTGAGATTTTTGGTTCAAACTCGCGAGAATTTTCGAGATGGAATCCCAGATAAACCACCCCTCAGAAACTTTCCCACTGACAACCCCTCCCAAGAGTAGATCGGCCAATATATCTCCAACCAATGTTCGTAAGCAAACATTCTGCAAATCTTCTGTTGGAAGAAGCACAGCCATCGCTCCGTGGGCCAGAAGCTGACGGTATATTTTCTCGGCCTGTCGTTGTTTCGCACCATCCTCGTCACCTGAACCAGGGGCTGGTGATAGTGCTGGATGTGGGTGCAACGTATGATAGACCGCACGCAATCGGCGGCTTGAATCTTCTGCTCTTGCCGAGCTTTCACGGGCGGTTCGGTACGCTGCCGTCATTCGTCATTAAGACAAGCTCATTCATGACAATCCCCGTGGACCTCCTGAATCCGATATATACACGAATGCATATATAAATTCCCGGAGTAAAGCAAAAAAAAAAAAAAAAAAAAAAAAGCAACAAAGTATGGCGGCTTACCAATGATATGAGCTTCTAATAATGAAGGGATTCCATCAAACAGTAGCGTCTCCACGTCAACCCGTCGTAGTCTCTGCTCCAATGCCCTAGTGCAATGCGCAATAAGCTGGACGACTTCCTCCGTGAAGAGGGTATCAGGGGTGATCTTCGAGTACCAAGAATGGACAAACTCTTTCATAACAACAGCTATCAAAGCATAGAGCTGGAGATCAACCTCATTCATGCTAGTTAGTGGAGGGAGCAGCTCCTCAAGCGGACGAGGGCTGCCACGATCCAGGCCACCATGGCCACTGGCATTCGGGCATAAGACTCGGCGAATCAAGGCTGTTGTGGCTTTGTCACTTGTTGAAGTCAACTGCAGCCGGTCTGGGGCATGTTTACTGCGCTGGTGGACGCGGGATGAAGGCCGGGATGTGGGAGGGGAACCATGGGAAGGAATTGAAACTGTTGATATTTTTGCTTTCGATTTCGAAGCAGGCGGCCGCAGACGTCCTGAGAGTCCAGGCATCTCCAATCAGGGAATGCCAAGGCATATGTCGGCCCAGAGCTGGATCATTCATGGACACCGGCAGAAGCAGTCGAGCTGTTCGCTGCCACCCATGAGGCGGACGTCCGTTTCCCAGAGTCTCGAGAGAAGGTTGTCACAGTGTTGACTTCGACGTCTGACGTCTTCTTGCATCGAAAGTTGAAGAAAGAGCGCCAAGCCGGGAAGAGCCAAGCCGCATGCTGACTAAGGAGAGCTTATCGATAACGGTAATAGATGGGAATGCACGGGCCAGCCGGAGCGCAACCCCAGGCAGTCGGATTTGCGCCGGAAGGTTGCGACTTCTCATCTTCTCTTCGGCAGTCAAGGACACAAGGGACGTGCGTGCAGTTGAGGCGTCGATATACTAGCAATAATGGGCTCGATTTCAGCGTCGGATGATAGTCGTATCCCTCTCTGGCTTGATTGCGATCCAGGTGAGTTCGCTCCTTACTTATGTTGTGAACGTTCTTGCTAATTGATACGTCATAGGGCATGATGTGAGTACCCCCACCAAAGACGAAGGACGCAGCAGAGCAATGTCTAACCAAGATAGGATGCGTTTGCGATTCTGCTTGCTGCCCATCATCCCGCACTGAGACTGCTGGGCATAAGTACGGTGCATGGCAACGGGTCGTTGGAAAATACCACAGTCAATGCCGGGAGCATTCTTGAGGCCATTGGGCGTTCCGATATTCTCGTGTATCCCGGCGCAAAGAAGCCATTTTGTCGCAAAGCCGTTCATGCAGAAGATATACATGGTACTACATAATCTGTTAGGACCATATACAATACCCTGTTGCTAAGTTATGTTGCATTCTAGGAACATCCGGCATTGATGGGACAGACCTTCTCCCTGCTCCAACTAAACCAGCGGTGACCAATGTCTCTGCGTATATCGCCATGAGGGATGCGCTGTTATCACAGCCCAAAGACACAGCATGGGTTGTAGCTACTGGAACCCTTACCAATGTAGCCATTCTGTTCGCTACCTTTCCTGAAGTTGCAGAACATGTCCGTGGTGTTAGTATCATGGGTGGTGCCGTTGGTGGAGGCTTTTCAAGTGTCCCCATCAGCCAAAAACAAGGAGATGAGTCAAGAGTTGGAAATATAACTCCCTGGGCGGAGTTCAATATATACGTGAGTTTATTGAACCCTCATATACTGTCTGCAGAGAATCTGACAATCTTCTAGTGTGACCCGGAATCGGCAGAGTCGATTTTCTCGTCCCCAGTCCTGGCGCCAAAGACCACACTGGTGACTGTCGATTTGACGCATCAAGTACTGGCTACAAAAGCTGTGCAATCACGCATTCTGGGCGTCAAGGACGAAGCCGGAGAGAAACCAAACCCTACAGTCCTTCGACAAATCCTTCATGCATTACTAATGTTCTTTGCCGGGACTTACGATACTGTTTTTGGAATAAGCGCTGGCCCGCCTCTCCATGATCCTCTTGCAGTCGCCATTTTGCTGTCCAACCTCAACGACCAAGCTAAGACGGCAGCTAACCTTAAGGAACAACTGGCATTTGACGACGCAAACGGCAGGAGATATGATGTTTCTATCCACACAGATGGACTTCATCACTGTGTTGAAGGTGCCGACTTGCAAGGTGAAATTGGCCGTACATTTGTCAAATCGTGTCCTGCGGGAGCAAAGGGAGTCACCATTCCGCAGAGCCTCGACGTTGATAAGTTTTGGGAAACGATTTATGATTGCTTGGATCGTGCTGATCAATGGAACCTGGAACGGACTCGAACGACCTGATGACTATCCTATTTATTATCCTCGTCCCCTTTTTCCTTTTCTGTTTGGGCTTCACTGACATCTTTCACACCATACTGGTTGTAGATTTTGTTTATATCTGAAAGGTTTCTTTCTTGGTTAGATAAGGTCACTGGCACTAGACAGAGTCTAGTATCGGATATAAGTGAATTAGATTGGGTCTTCAAATGTGTTCTATCCTGGAAAATTTATGATAACTAATCTACTATACTAATTACCACTCACGAATACTACCATCTCGTCCAAAGAAGCCAGTAGTGACCCAGGGCTTTGTATCTTTAGAAACCCTCCTCACCTCTTCCTCATCCACTTCTATCCCAAGCCCTGGACCATCCAACGCCTTCACATATCCATCTTTAACATCGAATACACTTGTGTCCTTGATATAGTTGGTAATATCATACTCCTCTCCGGATTCCGTAGTATTGTAATGGATCCCCAGGCTCATCTCTTGTATCACGAAGTTCGGGGTCGACAAGTCGACCTGCATGCAAGCTGCCAAAGCAATAGGACCCAATGGGCAATGGGGAGCAATAGCAACATCGTACGTTTCAGCCATAGCGGCAATGCGCCGAAGCTCGGAAACACCGCCGCAGTGGCTGATATCAGGCTGTAGGATATCGACACTCGCGTCTTCGAGGAAGCGTTTGACATCCCAGCGACTATACAGGCGCTCTCCCAGTGCTATGGGGGTAGTTGTTTGGATGGAGAGCTGCTTTACGCCCTCTGGGTGTTCGGAGAGCAGTGGCTCCTCGATGAATAGGGGCTGATATGGCTCAACCATCTTAGCGAGTTGTTTGGCCATGGGTTTGTGAAGTCGGCCATGGAAGTCAAGAGCAGCATCGAGGCCTAGGTACTTGACTGTTATCAGTCTTTCGACGCTGGCTTCGAGAGTACGTGGAGAGTCTAGCCAGTTGATGTCTTCTGTAGCATTCATTTTGATAGCCTTGAAACCCTGGGCAAGCCTTGATAGACCAGCTGCCTTTACATCAGCCGGTCTGTCGCCTCCAATCCAAGCGTAAACGGATATCTTATTCCGCACTTTACCACCCAGTAGCTGGTAGATGGGGACCCCGAGCCGTCTGGCTTTGAGATCCCAGAGTGCAATGTCGATACCAGACAGGGCGGACATGAAGACTGGGCCGCCACGATAGAAGCCTTGTCTCCATGCTGTCTGCCATATATGCTCAATATCACTGGCATTAGCCGTTACCTTTTACTGCACTTCCATCTGTGAGGGTAGGTAGGTAGACTTACTCTGCCTCGTAACCCTGAATCTGTCTACTAAAGGCGTTCAATGTCCCTTCGATGGACTCTGAATGACCCTCGAGAGTGCTTTCACCCCATCCGCAACCGCCTTGTTCGTCTGTTATCTTGACAAAGAGCCATCTGGGGAGTACTCGAAAGTGTTCTATGGTCTTGATTTTCGCCATGGTAATTTCAACTTGGGTTTGGAATATGTTTAGAGAGAGAGAAGATGACATCCGCATCTGAACCTTTTATACTCGAGGAGTGGATCTTCTTTACCTCGGGCAAGGCATAGCGCAGGATATTTCTATTGTACTTTACTCTACTGTGAAATATAGTATCATTGCAGGCTGAACATTTAATTTGGAGAATAGCAGGAGACCTAGGAATATGAATAGTCCTCTGTCTGTATCTGGCAATGTTCTTTGTGTACTATCGACTCTATTGGCAGCCAACCATCGATGCTCTACTATCCGTCAACGCCTCCGATCACTGGCACCTGGTTTTGGAGTTTAGACATGGCAAACATGTCGTACACTTGTGGCTGTATATGTCTTTGCTCGGAGTAACACCCCGGGCTATATTAGCTGGCGTGACTGACACTGTCATTGAATCGTATCCGAGATATTGGCCTTGTACCACCGGGCCACAGGGAGAGAATCCTGTCCTATATGCTTTCAAGCTCCTGATATATGCTTATATCACAGAGAAGAGGCGGTTCTCGGCTCCCTTTATCCAGCTGGAAGACGGCTTTCATAAACATCAAGGGGCTTCCCTCGTAGCCACAGGAAGCGGTCGACGGCACCTTGCAAGCCTGCACCGTGGCAGCCATGAAGCGGTTGATCCAGCCTGCTGCATGTGTAGCCGGTATATCGACGGCGTTCGGCCAGAGGATCGAGTCGAGCTGGGTCATGGTCGAGTTCGAGCCGGGATATCAGATTCCTGCCCACGTCGCTCCCACGCTGCAACGAGGCTCTCCCGGCGAGGGTATCAAGACAGCCAGACAGCGAGCATCCTCTCCATCCAGGCCGACCTGCCAGCCTGCCATTCTGACAGCAGGCAGAAGCAGTTTTCCCGGTTCAGCAGTCCTGGTTCTGTCCGACCTCAGCGCTGGAGAAGCGGGCAGCTCCCTTCATCTCCCTCTCCTCCTCCCCCCATCCCCTCTTGTGTATCTGCCCCGTCCCTTCGACTTCTCGTCTTTTCCCTCTCCTCAAGCATCGCCGTCGTCTGCGTCTCGCCCGTATCAACTGACGCTGCCGACTGCCGCTGGCCTTCGACGCCGTCGAGAAGAAAAGCAAACAAGGACGTCATTTGACCCGGAACTCCTGGCGCAACCTGTCGTACTTTTGCCTCCGCAGCGACGACAGCGACAGCAACAGCAACATCCGATCAACGGCTTCATGTCTTCAGCTGGCGATCCCACCTGGAAGCCAGCGCATCGCCATGCCGCCGACTCGCAATGACAGCAGTGCCAGCAGCAGCCGTAATGGCCATGACAATCTCCCAGTGAGACAGCCTCCTCTCTCGGTCCATCCTCAACCAACATCTTTCCCCCGATCTTGGCGTATCTTTCTCCATCCGCTTGTCGACCTTTTTTTTTTTCTTCTTCTTCTTCTTCTTCTTCGTCTTCTTTCCTCCCCTTCGCTCCCCTGCGTATTCTTCTTGCTCCTTTGCTGACGAGACGGCTGCTTCTTGCGTGTGAACGATAGCATCCGCCTGTTGAACAGCCGGAGACGCCAGCGACATCCGTCACTCCGCCGTCGTTAAGCTACTACCTGCAGCAGCTCGAGTCCTTTGCCAGCCCGGTACCAGACCTGGCCGCCACCCTCATGAGCAACCCAGATGATGAGATACACAGCGAGAACGTCCATTTTCTTCGAAGCAGAAGACGGTCGTCGACGGAGCTCTCGCCCTCGCGTGCCCGTACCCGCAGACGCCAGCTCGGTGGAGGCGGCGGCGGCGGAGGAGGAGGAGGAGGAGGCGTAGGAGTGGGTGCTGGTGCAGGAATGGCCGATTCGCCTCACGATTCCGTCGACCTCGGCGGTGACCAGTACATGCCTAGATCGCATCAACAGTATACCTCCGGCCATGGACAGAGGATACCAATCATTCGCCGACGGGGAGCCATGAACATCAGCCACGGCCCAGCCTACGAGGGTCCTCCCCAGCAGTCGAACAGGATATACAGCTGGGCCCCGACGCAGGACGAAGAAGGCGGTCTCTACCTCCGCACCGACCCATTGCATCCTCGAGACGAGATATGGTTCGACCGGTCAGCGTCTTCTTCTTCCAGAGACGATGACGGCTCGCTTTGGAGCCATCTGCCTAGGGAGCTCAGAGGGACGTCCCAGTGGGCGTCGGAGTCATCGCCCGAAGAGCAGGAAGGCGGACGTGCTGTGGGAGCGCCAAACATACCCCTGGCACGAGACAACCCGGCCTTGGTCACCGCAGCCATCTTACACTCTGTCAGAAGAAACCACAGATACTCGCCGAGAGTGCGAACGCCGCAGAACCAGATGCAGGACGGTGAGAGAGCCAGCCGACCAGACGACGGCCGAGACAGGACCATTAACGCAAGTACAAACGGCTACAACAGCTACAATAACACCAACAACAACGACTTTGCCACCCCTTTCTCCTTTTCACCCCAAGCGAGACGCTCGAGTCCTCGCTTACCACCACCTGCTCGCATCGATACGTCGAGAAATTCTGATATTCGCCGCATGTACCTCAAAGACCCCTCTATTGACCGCCTCAGGGAGGCCATCCAGTACCTGGACCGAGTCCGTTTCTCAAACTCTTACGAAGAAAGCCTTTCCACTGCCGCAGCTGGAGGCTTTGTTCAGTTTGAGTATTTCCTTCGCAACGAAGATGATTTCATCCTTGACACTGGTTCAATTGCAGGTCCAGGCTACTGCTCCTGGTTGAGCCCTGGCACTGTTTTCTCTGGCCAACAGCAAGCGACTGCATCGACTGCAATGCTGCCACACAGACTCCTGGGAACCACTCGCCCCTCGACAGAGTCTAACGCAGCCTCAAGTGTTGAAAACCGGATAAGCGTCTACACCAGCAGTGGCCGAAGTTATTGGGCAAGCAATAATATGGGCAACAACAACAACAACAGTGGCAGCAATAACAGCAGCAGTAGCAGTCAAGATCCAGAGCCTGCAAAAACAGAAAGCTGGCCTGTTAAAGTGACCATACATAACGTTGACTATCAGACCATGACCTTGTCTGGTACCATGGAAGCATACAACATCCCCGACAAGTCGGCCAACAATCAAGGAGCACACATAATCACCTACCTGGAAGGCGAAATTATCGATTTCAATACTCATACCCTGGAAACTAAAAATTTCAACGCCGGCCCAGAAGTTGATAGTTGCTACTGGAGGGAGTTGGAACCATTCAAAAACCTGACGTATGACGAGATTGTCAAGAATCTCGTCAGCAAGAAATGGGTCTCAGAGAAGTTATCCAAAGGATGGATACTGATGAGATGGAAAGGTGAGCACCGACTATACTCTACTTTTCCTTAAATTCATATGATACTAACCTTAATATCTTCAGAACGATGCTTTGTTTCTCCATCTCATTCTCGCCAGGGGCTGACTATATCTGGATTCTATTACATCTCCGTTCATCGTGAAACTGGCCGCATCGAAGGGATGTATTATGATCCTGGAAGCTCTCCCTACCAACAACTTTCTCTTGACCCGATCTTGAAAGACAAGATGGTTTTCCCTGCCTATAAATTTAGATAAGCGGGCCGCAGTATCTCGATGCTGCTTCTTATCTTCTTACTCGACTCGAGTTGTCTATTTTACCTGCAGACATCTTGTACATATTCTCCTTTTTTCCTTTTCCTTTTATTGCTCTCTGTTCGGCGTTAGAGCGCTACTTTTCTGTTCCCTTTGTTACTTGTATAGCTGTTACCGTTCTACCTATAGTGAACTATTGATATACCCACCCACTCCAGTGTCCTCTATACGTAGGCAATGCGTCAAAAGTCTTGCTTGTTCATCTTTTTTTTTTTTTTTTTTTCAACATCAACACGTCTTCTAAGTACATGAATCCCTCCCAGAAGTGCATATATCGAAAGAGATCTCAAAGTAACGAAGGAAACCAAGTTGACCCTAGTCTCATTCTAGTTACAGAACATCCACAAAGATATCAGCAAGCCCTGCACTTCCCGGATCCACAGACCGGTTCATGTCAACAGTAAAGCACGACCATCGAAGTACTTGCGCGAGAGAGGTCGTAGTTGAACAAGAGCCATTTAAAAGACGGCAATTAACATTGGAGGGAGTTCACTGCTCGGTCTGGAAGTAGTTGAGAAGGATGGAACGCTCCTGGGACTCCTCACCCCAGTCCTTAAGGACAACGCAAGAGCAGTTGACGACCTTGCGTGGGTTACCCTCACGGTCGAGAACGCCTAATCAAATGGGTTAGCCACCTATATTCCAGCCAAAGCCACCAATCAATAACCAGGCACGTCAAGGCGACTTACAAAGCCCAACCCATTCACCCAACATCTTGCCATCAGGGACCTTAATGAGAGGAATCTTGTGCTCAGAGCAAAGAGCAATGACAAGCTTCTTGTAAGCCTCCTCCTCGCATCCCTCGTTCAGGACACACATATGGGCCTGGCGACGGTCAAGAGCCTTAGCAGCCTCACGGAGACCACGGGCAAGACCATCGTGGATAAGAGCGATCTTCAAGACACCCTTCAATGCGTCCAGGACAGACATGGAGCTGCCTGCAGTGGCATTGGCGGAAACTTCAACTTCATCAGCGGCAACGACGCCGGCGTTCGAGGTGGTCTCTTCTCCGTCCGACTGGAATTGAGCGATCTGTTAGCTGGAATTGCTCTGCTTTCCTCGCCCATTTGGTGTATCATAGTGTATTGCGATAAGCGGGTGCAGAAGGACCGCGGTTGATGGAACATTAGCCCAGCTCGAGTTAAACGTACCATTTTGATTGATTTCAAGGACACTTCCTAAATGTCGGATGATCCTCAAAGAGTTATGTATATGTGGTTGTTTAAAAAGGAGAAAGAGATATCGAGGTTGGAAAAGGTAATTCGCGGAGTCGCTGATCGGAAATAATTTTTTTGTGAGTGTGCCCTAAAGTGTGCTTATGTAAGAGAGTCACACTTCCCACCTTCCACTACTTGGCTCTTGGCTCGAACAGGAACAATTTGATAGAGAGCAAGTAGACTCGTTCGTTATATTCCGACTACATAACGCTGCAAAGTCCGAAGGAGAAGGGTAATCAACATGAAGCGGGAGCACCTGAAGCGTGCTGAGCCTGGTATAGGAGTGGATGACGAACAAAGTAAAAAGAAATGATAATAATATAAAAAATGGAACAGCCAACGACCAGCAACCCGACCAACCAAATTCCGGGCATCCAAACACTCACACATGAGACAACAAAAGAACAACAAGCATAGATGCAGGAAAGACACAGACAGAACAACCCTGCACATGTCCGGCCATCCCACCTTTTCCAGAAAACCCCCCTAGGCGCCTTGAAACATGCATCTACATACAAAAGCCCAATGATCACCGGTTGAAGTAATCTAACGTTCCGTGTCGCCAAAATGATGAACGCAGCCGTTAATACGGGATAAAAAAAACTCGAACGATATGGTGGCAAGTAAACAGGCAGCAGAAGGTATGTTGCAAACGGACAGAAAACGAAAAAGAAACGCTGGACAGTGGAATAAACAACAGAGTTAAGGAACCGTGCTGTGGGATGCCAGGGCTGGCATCTCGGGGAATTGCACGGTTATGGTCTAGGAGCTGTGGTTGACCCCGTTAGGCTCGGAAGTGCCATTGATTAAGGGGTGGTGAGAAGAGTGATCTCCATTGACAATGTGCGATTTATCCTGGAGTGAGGCAGAGGGCTCCGGGTCGATATGCATGCTAACAAAAGTGATATTAAGACCGTGAAGATGCGGAATATGAGGGACCAGATCCATAAAATCAGAGCACTGGTTGCGTAGTTAGCTTCTATGTTTTTGCTTCTCCTTTGCAGCAGGGACAGTGACATACCTTTACCCAGAAAACATGCTCCATCTTCTCATACAATGGTTTAGTTTCCCGGTAGATGCGAGAATAATCATTTCCGCCAGCCTTGACAGGATTGAGCTGTTGAGGATTCGATAGCATGGGCCCGCTACAATCCCAGATATTGTTTCTTTGAGTAGGTGTGGCAACTCTCTTCTCCCAACTGGGGTCTACAGGTTTCGGTTAGCGCAATATTCACGCATTCGAAAGCAATCATGGAGAAACCTACATTGTGACAACTGAAGATCGTTAGTCGCAAGTAATAGAGCAACGTAGAAGTTCAGAATCCATTTCTCATTCTTCAGCTCAGGATCGCAAAGTGGCTCGAGGTCATCTCGTGTCGCTTGCAGGATGGGCATGACCCTTTTCAGGAATTCATGACTCCTAGCTCGCGGGTCATTGGCACCGATTAGGTTAGCAGCGGTGCGGAGACGATGAGGGAGGGCATCCCGCCGTCTCTGTTCTTGTTCCTCTTGTTCTCTCCGTATACGTGCCTGGCGGAGGCGTTCTTGTTCCACTCTTCGCTGGTGCTCCTCTTCTGCTTGGCGAGCTCGTCGCTGTTCTATCTCCTTGCGCTTGCGTTCCTCCTCTTGTTTTCGCTCTTCTTCCTGTTTCTTCCGCTCTACTTCCAGCCTTCTTTCTTCTTGCTCGGCTTTCTCACGTTCAACAATAGCCGCCTTTTCAGCAGCTATCTTGGCAGCTTCTGCCTCTTTCCGTGCTTTTGCTTGAGCCTTTTCCGCTGCTCTTTCAAGCTCCGCTTCCGTAGGAACATGCTCCTTCTCAGCGTATCTTTCATGCTTAGTTTTAGCCGCCGCATTGCTTTCAGATGGCGTCTCGGCTTTAACACCAGAGTCGGAAACTCTGCGTTTGATTTTAGCGGCTGTAGGGTCGCGAGAAGTAGAACGATGCTTGTCGCTATGGCTTATGGAATGTTCAGCAGCTTTAGAACCCTCTGTCTTTAAGCCGAGACTGTCACGGTGGACCGAACGCGGCTTAGAAGTTTGAGTATCGTTTTCGACCTTCGATTTAGACCCCTCAACTGTAGTTTGGGGTTGACTTAAATGCTCACTCGAAAGTATCCGTCGTTTCTTGACATGTTTCTCGCGAACCTCTTCACTCTCATTATTTCGGGGTTTGGATGGCTTTGGTGAGACACTATTTCGAGAACGTTTCAAGATAGAGTTGCGTTTCTCTGACCTTGAGCCATTATCATTTGAATCTTCGGCGATACCTGCCTTCGATACATCTTCACGACCGGAAAACGAGTCCGAAGACATCACACTTGGTCTTCGTTTGGCATGGTCTGGTGGTGGTCGTCCAGCAATGAGACGACGACGTTTGACAGGTTCTTCGCCGTGTTTATGAGGCGTGGCTTCCCGTGGGTTACGGGAGTCGGATGGCAATTTTTGTTTTCTGTCAGACTGTCCGTGATCTCTTTCATCCATTAAGCCATGAGAGTCTTCCCGGCTTGATACTTTGTTTGCAGGCAGTCTGTCCTTCGTGGAAACTACACCATCCGCTCTCTTTCTTTCTTTTTGTAGCTTCAGGTCTTTTAACCCTTCCTCGTTTTGGCGATGGGATGGAGCACCCTTACTCGAGCTCTTACGAACAACAGAAGCCGGAGACGGGGAGTCACGATCCGGTCTTTTGGCAACTTTGAGAGGATCTCGCGGCCGTCGTGGAGACCTTGACTCGCCTTTCTGGGCTTTAGGATGCGCACTGATATATTCGTCGTATGCTTCTTTCAGTAGGTCCCGCTCCAGTTCCCAGTTATCACCTCTGCGTTCTTCTGCAAGTTCAAAAAATCGACGATTCTTGTGGTCCGTACGTGTAGGGTTGAAGCCCGGTTGGTCTAACAGAAGCTTAATGACATCAATATTACCTCTTCCGATCGCTGCCAGCATGGGAGTATCATGGCCGGCTCTGTGGTTGCCATTAGTTAGAGGCTCTGGATCAGGGTCTGGGTTCCCCATTCCAAGCAAAAGTCCAAGCACTTCATCGTGACCACCTTTTGCTGCTGCAATCAGGGATTCCGTATCCGCCTTCTGGAGGATATTGAGGATGGTAGCCACTCCGGCCATGTCACCCTTTGCAGCAAAAAGTCGAAGATTTTCGAAGGTTGGTTTTGTCCACAGTAGATCATTTCGAGTAGCTTCACTCCTAACGGTTTTCCGTCGGCTATATTGCGGTGGAGGGCTCTGGGCATGGTGGGGAGGGGAGTCTGGCGAGCTTGCAGCTGATGCTCCTCTAGAACGAGGATCCTTAGTTGAGGAAGCCCCCTGTCCACTGATATCATCCGACTTCCGCCGTCTGTTACCACGGCATTTCGCCTCTGCAAGAACGCGTCGTAGTTCATGACGGTTCTCGTTGTCAGACGGAACAAGGTCGTATGGTTCATCACCCTTTGCATTGCCAACACGAGGATTTGCACCAGCATCTAAAAGTATTTTAACAACATCCAAATGCCCATTTTCCACCGCATCGATGAGGGGAGTATCACGATCAATGTTCTTGGTGTGAATATCGCAACCGGCCTCGATTAGAAATTTCACGATTTCAGCACATCCTTCAAGAGCAGCAATCTGGAGTGGCGTGTTTCCTGCATTATCGGGAACATTAAGGTCCTCTGGTCGTTCAGCCTGCCGACACTTGGCTGCTTCTATTTCCTGTGCAGCACAGGCTCTGGCAAGACGTGTTCGGCCATTCTGGTCGCGTAGCTTTTTGTTTTGTGCCTGCTTCACGGGCGAGAACGGAAAAGTGTCACAGGAGGTTAGCCGACGATTACGTGGATTAGGAGGAGGTGAACCAGCGCTTGAGGCAGAAAACGGCGAAGCTCTGCCTTCTGAAGTATGGTTCGTCTGGTCCATCAATGGTTGTGGGGGTAATTTTCTCCTCTTTTGGGTGATGGAAAGCGGAGGGGAGTGTGTAGAATCAGATGTTACCCTCTTGTGTGAGCGAATCGGGGGGGAATGAGACCTGTCCTGACGGCGGGAAGCATACAAATCAGATTTCCCAGAAGATTCATGGTCGTGGGAGTTGGATCGATAATTAAGCCTACGCCCATCGGCAGGAACATCTTTGGTGTCCACGGTTGCGCTTTCTGGTTTCCTGTGTTGATTAGACTTATCGTCCGGTTTCCGCTCAGTAGAGACATCATCACTGGGAGATGGGGGACCTTGTAGACTGGACAGCGCCTGTGGTTCGTCTATCTTTTCCTGTTTTAGGGCCGGAGACGGACTCGATGCTCGAGAACTCTGGTTACTTCGAAGGGACGACCTGGAGTCATCGTTCTCGTGGTCAGGTCGTTTCCTCTTGCCGAGTTGCCAATTACCAGGCTGGCTGAACTTGGGGGTCGTCCGTGAGGCAAGGTCCAGTCCATTCTTATCGTTTTGGCCGGGGACATGTCGAACGTAGGTCTTCCTCTTCTCTGGCGACAACTCCTCTCTGCCGGACTGGATGATAGTTTCTGCCTCAGAATCGGCCTTAACACTGACGGCGTCATCGTTTACATCCGCGTCCTCCGCCACAGGCCGTCCATCATCTCCGTTGGCAGAAGTGGCGCTCCGAGGCACGTCCAGAGCGGGTTTTGGGGCTAGGTGAATATTGGCTCTCTGATGGGAGGAGTTCAAGGTTTCCGGTAGCGAAGAGGCCGTTTCAACATCACTCATAGCGGTTGAACTGGAGATATCGAGCCTCCTTGTGGCATCCTCAGCAGAGGAGGGCTCGAGGAACCGATGGCAATGTCAGTAAAGGACGAGGGGGCGATGTTGCCTTTTGGTGACGGGCACGCTAAAAAGGGTACTTGGGAGCTGCTTTTGGCCAGCAAAAACGCGGTGCCAGGCAGCCAGGACGAATCTAGAGCAGCAGCAGTGCAATGATCAACCGATATATCGGGCCTGCAGGCCAGTCGTGGCAGCGTGTCGTGGTGGATGGACGTCGAGGTCGTCGTCTTCTTCTTTGGGGGGCAGCGAGGGAGCGAGCGATGAGCGAAGGAGGAAGAAGAGGAAGAAGTTGGTTTTGGCCTTCGCGGACGAACTTTTGCTGCGACGAGAAAAAAAGAGAGGGCGCTAGGCCAGTTCAGGGAATGGGCTAGCTGCTTTGGGATCTTACTCAGCAACAGGCCGCCAGCCAGCCAGCAGGCAGATGCGACATGCAGGGCGCGGAGGGGCGGTTAAGCAGGCATTTATTTATTATATATATATATTTATTTATTTGGCATAGTTATTTCGCGACGGTCCGGACGAGAAGACGAGGCCGGATGAAAGACGAGACGAGACGAAAAGCGCTGGGCAGTCGCGGCGTCTCCCAGTCTGCTGCCTCGAGATTTGCGTGGTGAATGACTAAAAGTAGTTACTGGTCACGTGGGCGCTTGGGTGCTTCAAGCGCGGCGAAGTCGAGGACGAAAGCAAACAAAACAACGATCCATACGTCGTGGTTCTGTCGATGTTGATGTCGTCTGCGGCGTCGAGGACTAAAAATAAATATTCTAAATTGATGACGGGCTAGGTCTATCCCTGCAGAAGACGGCGATCCAGCATGGATGGGCTCGCTGGCATGGACCTTGTCGACTGGATAAGAGGCGGATATGTGGTGCTAGCTGCCAGTGTACGAGAGCCTTGATACATATACGGAGTAACAAAGATGTTAACCGAGAAGAGCAGAAGAAGATGGATGGTGTTAATAATGGCCGAGAGTATAAAATACTGACTGCTTTGTAGGTCATGGCTGTCAACAGTCTCAAGTTCCTTCGTGACAGGTTCATTTCATACGGTGCCCGGACTCTGCCAGCATCGAAGGAGCCGAGTAGCAAACCTTCGGCAGTGGCCACCGTCTCTCCATGGAGTGGTATTGCAGGAATCCTGAACCGCGTGGCAACCTGGGATGTGCCGCATTCCTACTTTACCCATTTCTACTACTGCGCCGTCGGCGTGGCGCTCTTCTGGTGGTATCAGCTTCTGGCCAGAGGTTGGGCCTTTAAGCTCATTGCCAGCATGGTAGATCACGAAAAAAGAAAGAGTTCAATGTCCTTTAACCAGATATTCCTTTGCTGGACGCTTTTTACCATCCAGGCCTGCCGTCGACTCTACGAGTGCCTCTCATTTGTGAAGCCCTCGCAGGCAAGGATGCACGTCGGGCATTGGCTCTACGGATTTACCTATTATATCGTCATGGGAGTCGCTATTTGGATTGAAGGAACAAGTAGGATTTTCTACCTTTTTTTATTTGATTGAACAAGGATCTAACTTGAAACTTAAGCAACTCTACTCTCAACTAATAGTCCATTGGGCGATGCTGCTATGACGGCGCCTTCCCTGAGGTCATTGATCTTTATCCCGGTGTTCATATTTGCTTCTGGGATACAGTATGACTGCCACGAGTATCTGGCATCCCTTGTTAAATATACCCTCCCGGTGCATCCCGCGTTCGTCAACATAATATCTCCACACTACACCGCGGAATGCATGATATACCTTTCGTTAAGCTTCCTTGCTGCACCCCCAGGATCGATTGTCAACAGTACCATCTTTTCCGCCGTAATTCTCACTGCAGTGCAGTTGGGTACTTCAGCAGCAGCTACCAAGAAGTGGTATAGCGAGAAGTTCGGGAAGGAAAAGGTCAAGGATAGATGGGTCATGCTACCCCTTATATGGTAGACTAACAGATGTCTTCTATCGCCGTCACTTACTTAGAAACCTTAGACTATTTCCCAGCTTTGATACCTTTAGCACATCCCTATATGTCAGACTAATTCGTGTCTGTCTTTCGTATTTCCCCGTTCCGAAGAGCTGGCTGTCACCCAAATTACCCCAATTACATATCGTGTCCGGCCCAAGGTCTTCGTCAGACGTTTTTTCTGCAATCCCATGCAAAAAATCAGAGTATAACGTCCCCGTGGTAATCAGCAGACTTCGTCTTTCCTGCAAGATTCGAAACCGTGGAGCAATCTGGCCTCTCACCGCCTCTTTCTCCACTGAAGGGAGTTCTGGAGCAGGTAGATCGTTTGGTCTCTTATCATAGATATCTAAGATAATCGGCGCCGCAAGACTCACTGTCGCCACGATAGGATAGTACGCTGAACCATCTTCATGAGGCATTATTCCTTGCCCTGGCTGGTACTCGTTGATAAGTACATGATTGGGCGATTTGTGAGGAGACTCGGCAAAGATGCATAAATCTCGAAACCGAGAGGCAATGGGACTCTCCAGCCAGTCTGGTAGCGGTGAGGCCAGCAGGGTATTGGATTTACTGAGCACAGACGGCCACGTCTGTAGCCGCCGTCGGGATAACTGTGTCCATCTAGGGGCTGGAACAGACGTTATCTGTACCCGTATTAGTAACTCTGGCAAACATTAACTCGACTCTTTTATCGCCTACAAATTTTCGGGCCTCATGTGTCAAGACAGACAAGCTACTTACTTTGCTTAAAAGAATCCCCTCCTCGTCCTCTGAAATGAAATCGGGAATATAATATGCCGTATCTGGAAGCTGGTTTATTTTGTGCCTCTCCAAGCCTCCTGAGCCATCTAGTAGCCCCTCCGCCATGTTTCTCATAATAGTTAACTACCAACCTCCACGGGTTCTCTGGATATGATTGCGGTAGTTACGCAACTTGGCTGGATTGTCTTGATAGTTTATACAACAAGTTGCACAGTAAACGACAGCTTACTGATGCAGGCATGTTATTATCATGAAAGTTTTGTTTGCTGTGAAGTTGGTCGTTAGTAGTTAGTTAATTAAGCATGTTTTTTGGTTGGTCACATGTCCAATCGGCTTTATCGTCGACATCCATCGCGTTGAATATTTTCTGTTTGCTCAACTTCCTTGAGTCGCTGATATTTGTGCGATGCTCTTGTCTCTGTTAACTACCTTGATGAAAATAGTCTTAACGGACGAGCGAGGAATGGCTCGGTTCGTCATGGGAAACCTGGGATACTAACAAATGTCTGCCACGCCGAAATTACCGTCGAGCACGACTCAAGAATGAGTTATTACCAGCGCGCAGGCACCGTCAGCAAATGTTCTTATACGATGTAAAAGGAGAGCATTATCTCTCCTGGATCTCGTTCGAATCATGGCGACCCATGCAATTTCGTCACATTTAGCTAGCCTCTGTGCCAGCGTGCATCAATGCGACTGTCAGAAGAGAAGCTTAACACTTCACACTTCTTGAAGGCATCTCTTGGAATTTACTTCCCCGTTTTCGGTGTCTACGAAAGGCCTTGGATGCTCTCGGAGGGTAGCAGTGCTATTCACTGCTATTAAAGAGGCTGGGAGCGGCTGGTCTGTTCTCGTGAGCAACCCTGCTGGTTCTTTTCTTAACCACAGGCATAGTTAAATACGAGATCACATCTGTGGCTCCCTAGATATCTCGGGCTGCATGAAGTAAGTAAAGTAGTTACCTTGTCGAAGATACCACGCGCCTAAGGAAAGGGATCTGGGATCCGATTGTACCTAACTTGGGTCTCAACAGCCGTTTTGACCAGTTTCACTACTAAGCCATCTAGTGTGGCTGTTTTGTCCCGGAGAACCACGGCCATGCAACGGATGTCTCGCCAACAGATTGCTGGAACGATGTGGCAATCACTTCGTTTTGGAATAGCATCTGGGTATTATTACAACATGCCCTGTGGCCGATCAGTTCCGGGATGCTGGGGGTGCCGGGGACCATTTACCAATAAGCACAACAATTGTTCACTCGGTAGTTCCAAGAATGGGATGAGGGATGCCGCAGTGGTTTCAGTTGCCTGCTATACATAGCAATATCCAACTTGCGCTTCCAGTGAAATATTATACAACGATGCAACGGTATCAGAATGGAAACGCTCCAGCGGGGCTTTATTTTATTCTCTGTATAAGACCCATAGCATCAAATCCATCTCTTTCGACCCTTTGGGCTTCGCTGGACGTTGGAACGGGAAATGTTAGCAACCTAGTGGTGACCGACCATCAAACCAACATTTATCATGCATAGCGCAACATCCAGTTGGGCATCCCAATATGACGCGACATGGATGTTTTATGCTATTTACTGCGATTCCCTGCACATGAAATACCCATGATATTCGGCAAGTAGCTCAGCCCCTTTTTGTTGTTATTATATTTGGAACCCGAGATGGCCGTGTTGTGGGTAGTAAGTTTTCATTTCGATGTCGTCCATAGTGAAAATGGGCATTCTCCTACATATACTATTCTTGCTATCGCATAGCGCCATACGCAGTTTGGCTTTGGACTGCCGTCCAGTGCGCATCGATGGGCCATCAGTGGGTCAGCGCTCTAATTACACCTGGGAAGAAGGGCTTCCGATACAGTTTGGAGGATGGTCGGATGAAGAGATAAAAACTTGTATTGGGGTAGCAGATGCAGACGATATATGGCTAGTGTCGGAGGATCTAGACTGCCCAGTCGTATGGCCAGTATCTGGTATGTCAGAGCAGTCAGTCATTACAGGTTTGGAATATCTTGACAAATTCCTTCAGAGGGGATAAAAAATATAGAAACGTCCTACAACACCCATATAGGTACCTTCTTACCGAAGGGGGACCTTAAATGGTCACCATTCCATTTCGATCTCAGAAAACAAGCCGACGTGTGGTATGTGGATGAGAAATTGTTTGCAAGGTCTCAAGCGTTCTTTATCCATGATGGCGGTGACGGGGCAACCACACTATATACCACCATCACCAGCACGTCAACCTCAAGCTATACTACATCAACAACTGCCGCGTCAACATCGGCATCAGAAAGCTCCGTACGAACGATTGCGACCGTTGTAGTAACGCGGACACTGGAACCTACTGCAACAGGCCTGGTACTCATTGATCATGAGGGGGCGGGCCTCAGCACCGGGGTGAAAGCAGGCATTGGGACAGGTGTGGCTCTAGGTTCAATTGCTATCGCAGCTGCGGTATATATATTTATACTACTTCGACGGCGGCGGAATTCGGATAAAGTCATCCCAATGGTCAGCAGCGAGGACTCGAATAAGTACTCACCCCCTGGGCCACCGGAGATGCATGACGAAGTACCGGGTTCACTTCCTGTCGTTAGCGAGACAAACGATCCCCAGAAGAGACCTGCCAGCGAGATGCTCGGATCGATACCGGTGGGAAAGCCGACCGGCAGGGTTGGTGATGATATAGTGCATCATGAGTTGCCATAATGGGTGCCATAGTTTGGTTTTATTTTAAGGAGCGGTTTCTTCATGGCTTATCACTTTCGATGTATATATTAAGTTCTGGTTTGCTTTATTGTGTGAACCATCATCGAAATTTTTAATTCCTAAAAAGATACCTAATGTCAACGTCTTCAGACAACATAACGCTCTATTCGTTCTTTATATATATAGAAATACGGCTGAAGATTGCGTAAAGACGAAACACATTTTGAAGTCCTTAACAGTCTCATAACTATTACAGTGGTTCTCACTTTACTTGGGGGGCTTTTAGTTTCTTAGCTTCTTTTCTGAAGCGGAGACCTTCTCTATCTAGTTACGCTGTACCTGAAATACTCTAGCGGCTATGACAGCTAGTTGGACAGTTAAACTGGTTTCTCAACTACCTAGGTATATAGGGAACCCTAGAACGCCCAAGTAAATAATTGCTAGCTGGTACATAGTTCTAAATCGTTAGTTAGTTAACTAGCTAGTTAAATCTATTTAGTCAGCTGCTGGTGGGTGTGGGTTTCAACTCCACCTCTTCATCAACAACCATATCAAGGTCAATACATGCGAGATTCTTCCACTGGCGACTTGCTATCACCGAAGTTGTAATCGAACTTTATACTTATACCTGACTTCGCCAAATTCACCGCATAGGACCCTTCTATTGCTACCAGTAACACCTATCTCCACATTTTGCCAATGGCGCCAAAGAACAAGGGAGGTGATAGCAAGGGGGCAGGCGGGAAAGGCAAGGGGAAAGGAAAAGAATCAGAGAGTTCAGACATTGGTAAAGGAAAAGGACTGAAGGCAGCTAATTCTATAAACGTTCGACATATCCTTGTACGTCGTGAATATATCCGATTTACCCAAGTCGATACACCTGTTGTGGGGAGAAATATACCCAATGGGTTAAAGATATAGCCGGGCGAGGAAGGCTGGCTCGAGTCTTGACTATTTACTTACTATATACTGTGGACAGTGCGAGAAACACTCGAAGAAGGAAGAAGCCCTGGAAAAATTACGAGCAGGAGTCAAGTTTGATGAAGTTGCTCGAGAGTTTTCGGAGGATAAGGCGAGACAAGGTACAATGTGTTTGATTGACAAGTTCGATGCTGCCGCTTGTTTGTTTGGATATTGCATAAAGAGTAACTTCTAACGCTACTACTTATAGGCGGATCACTTGGGTGGAAAGTTAGGGGTAGCTTGGATGCTGCGTTTGAGAAAGCAGCGTACGAATTAGAACCAAGCACAACAGGAAGCCCAAAATATGTCGAAGTGAAGACAGGATTTGGTTACCATATTATCATGGTAGAGGGAAGGAAATAAGCAAATGATGCAAAGGGGACGCTACAACATCAGCTGCATTAGTCTGAACAGATATTAATTTAGGGTATTTGAAACGTATAAATCAACTATATACATGAATGTGAAGTCTGGTCTATTGTTAATGAAACGTCTTGTCTAAAGAAAGTGGCGGTAGAAGGATGTATATGGATCAAAGACGATCCACGGAGACACCATAGTCAAATATGGTAATAACGTCGTAAGTTCCCCAGTGGGCAGCAGTCGGTGTGGATTATGTATCTAAAGGGATTTTCCCGCTTTAGCCTTCTCACGGAGCTTCTTCTCCTTTTCCTTCCTCTGAACCCAAGCCTCAGCTCCAATTCCGCCAAATACCAAACCAACACCCACCCACTGGCCTCCACTCAACTGGTGGCCAAACCATACAACACTGAGAAGCATTGTTAACATCTTCCTGGTCAGCGTTACCGTCACCAAAAGGAGGGAAGAGAAGTGAGCCAAGGTATAGAAAATGAACAACTGGCCAAATGCACCACAGGCAGCGAATGCAACCACATCTTTAGCAGCTTCTGGGTGTCGAGAGAGAAACGCTATGGCGGACGAAAGTTCAGATGTTTGAGATGGAGGGATTGGTAGAGGTAGTAGTGGTAAAATAGATGTTGAGAGGTGAGGCACAATGACAAGATAAGCACTCGTGAGAATGGTGGATATGAAATTTTGAGCTACCATCATCTGGGGCCCGCTGAATTTGCCGTAAAGCTTTGGAGACGTAAAGATATGATCTTGCGTTGTGTTTGTGAGGCCATCCAGAAGAAGATTAATGAAGAGAAGGAAGAGACCGAATAGAGACGACGAATTTGGTCCCTTAGATCTACTACTCTTCTTTGCCGTGCCGGGATGGTGTAGAGTAAAGGTCGCTACCCCAATAGTAAGGAGGAGGATAACACCATACTTATATAGGGGATAGCGTTTTTGGAAAATAGTCAGGTGAAGAAACATGACTGGCAATAACTTGCAGGATTTTGCCAATGTAAAGGTGACATAGTCGATATGTGCGAGACTGGCATATCCGAAAGGAGAGGCGAGAGAGGTCGACAAGCTGACAAGTATCAAAGGAATGAGAATCCGACTGGTTGGGAAAATGGATGGTGTGCTCATCCCGCGAGGAGTTGAGAAATAGAGATAACAGGAGCCCGTGATGACCGCGAAAAATGATTGTATAGTATTTAAAACGAGTGAGAAAGTAAACCTTTCTGTTTGGGGGTTCGGGACCGCGGAAGTAGGTGGATGCACAGGATAATACGTGGTGGTGATTGCCTCTTGAAGCACTCCCCATGAAAGGCTACAAACAAGCAGTGTTAGGGAACTATATTTCGGAAGCACAATACACTCGGCGGGCTACTTACAATGATGCATAGATGCCAGTCACGCAGATCACCAGCTGCAGAAGCCCGGCTTGGGATGGCTCTGAAGTAGTCCGGATCGGCGGCTTTCCTTTCTCTAACTGTTGAATTGCACCATTTGTTGAATCAACATTCATATCTGGAATGTCCTTGGGAGCATGCATGATTCCACCGGAGGGCACCCGTTGAACGGGAACCTTTTGTTTCTCACGCGCCATTGACGATGTGTGAATCGATAAAAAGGGCTAAAGAGTCTAACCGTCCCATTAACAGAGAAGATGACGAAAAAAAAAAGTTGAGAAAAACGAAAGGTAGAAAGGAATACTGAAGCAATAAATAAAATACAGGAGGCACAAATTAAGTCTAGAGTGATTTGTTGCTTCGGTCTTTCTCTTGTTCGGGCGATGACGATCTTGAAATCTGTCCAGTACCTTACTTATCGATTACATAATAGGCGCTAAAGGCTTATCAGATGGAGTTTTAATCGATATCAAAACTTTATTTCATTTTCGCGGCTGCTTCGGCTTTTTATTAACTTAGGTACTCGACAACACCCAACTTACGGCTGCGTTCACGCTATTCAGGCGAGCAGATTAAAGGGTATATGGCTCAACCAACTTAGCATTTGACCTTTAAGTCTGTATTACATGTTGATTTCTTGGATCTCGCATCATTATCCCAAAGATGTCGGGCCACCCTCCAGCAATAGCGCCGTCAGCCGTCACGACGCTGATTTCCTCGCAACCACGAACCCCCCCACCACATGTGGCTCTCTCACTCGAGATTCTTCATAATCTCGAACACCAGCACCAATGGAAACATTTAAAAATTCATGAACCCTTCTCTCTTTCCCAGAAACAGTCCATGCCGTTGATATCTGGCACCCCTCCTCAACCCATTTACATCCACCCGGATGAACAGGCGTACCTGTTGGAGCACAGTATTCCTATGAAAGATATACCAGTAGATAGGGAATGGGTAATTCCAACAGCACAGGGAGAGAAATGGACATTAAGTCGACTAGCTGGCCTACATGACTCTTTGCCTAGTCGGGCTGAGGACTTTCCGCATGATTCAGTCGACTTGGAAGAAGCGACCAAGAGCATGCAAGAGTATGTAAAGCTCAAAAAGGAAAAGCCTTGGGGAGGGAAGAGAGCTTTACTTGCAATGGTAAATCGAGGCTTGGGTGGAGATGGCACTGTTGTATATTACGTGACGATGGAGGGAACACCGAAGCCGAGGCAAAACTAGACAAACTTTCAAATGGCCCTACAGAGTCTTCCTTGTGTGAGACACACTATGGAAATGGTCGCCGGATCATGAGTGAATAACAAGGATTTGGAGTTCACCTAGATATATATGAACTAATCTGCCCGACTACCATGGTTGTTGTACAATGAAAAGGATTGACATAATAAAAAAAAAAAAAAAAGCGAAAAAACAACCATGCCGCCCTGAATATTATGAAACCGCCGAGTTCGCCAACAGGGTATATATAAAATGCGTAACGAATGCCGAAAAATCAAAAGTGGTGAAAAGGGTCAAGGACGCTGATGCTAATTATCGATAAGAACCCTCTCCTGGTCCCGCTGGCAACTCGAACAATACTCCTTATACCACTTTTCAATTTCTCTCTTGTTTCCAGATAAAATCTGTTTTCGAATACCCAAAACTCCGTCATAGTCGTCATTATCGTGATATTGTATACGCTCTTTGAGCATTATATCAAGCATGGCGCATCTCCCGGTTTCTCGACGAAGCCATCGTTCCCACTCCAAGTGAAGAACTTCCTTCTCGATGCTATTCACCACCTTTAGGCCCACAAGGAGGTTGTGGCGATAGGACCCAAGTCTTTCCCGAGTACGTTGGAGCCGGTAGGCTGCGTTACGTGATATTTTATTCTGAGTAGGTGTGCTTGATGGCGGTAACAGTAAGTCATTTCTTGTTAATCCGTTCTCTTCACGGAATGTTGAAAAACTATGGAGTGTTAGCAAATCTAAATTCTATATTTTGAATAGGGAGTGACTAACCAAATGCTAGTATTGAAGCCCTGAATCCCTACCGAATCCGGAACAGCGTCATTTAAATCTTTAAGATAGACTGCTTTGCCCATCACTATGTTTGGACGAACACCAAGGCGGGCCATGAATTTACCCGCGTTGCGTTCTTGCCACCAATCCATTGTATCACGCCATGAGTGAAACCCATTAGCGAGAATACTGAGTATCAATAGCAATAGAATAGTCTTATTGGCATTAGATACTTTCCAAATCCATCGAAGCAGGGCCCAGAACCAGATAATCAAGGACGATGCTGCGGATTGGAATAACGATCCAGATGTTTCTAGTAGCAGTGGCAGCAAACCACTCTGCTTTAATGGGCGCTGTAGCTGTAACCGAACTCTCTCAGAAACCGTAATGTTGGAAGTTTCTGTCTGATGGCCAATGTTACCAAACATGGAAATTGCGCTTTTCGTTGTAGGATACGGCCCAAGTCGTTTTACTTGGTCTGATACTAGGTCGATCAGATCTAGTGAGCTTTGTTCTAGCTCCTTCATTGCCTGCCGTTCGATTATACCTTGATGTGCGTTAACTATGCAAAATCTAACGCGTGAAGGAATACTGGGAGACTTACTGCTGATAAGATATGGCTGCGATATCCACTCAACCTTGGTGAATATAGCCAGCTTGCATTTAGATTTGGAAACATAGGTGATGACAGCTTTGCTAACGAGCCTAAATTGCCGCTTGAATGGTAGATGCCAGGGAGTGCGTTTGTCCGTGACAACATAGCAAAGGTGGTCGTTAAATACATCTATTATTTGGTAATCACAGACGTCTGCGAGGTGGGATCGCCCTAGATGATATAGAATATTAGTTGAGTGGGAAAATTTATAGTGTTGGGGAAATCTTACCGAAAGTATCAACCATGCGAATTTGATACGCCATCTCACGTCGAAGGTGAGAGGAAGGTAAAGTGACCCAAGGCCCTTGCTTGATATCTTCATACCATTAGCTGTAAAACATCATATGGTAGGATAGGAGTCACATACTCTGCGCTCTTCTTTGGTGCTGAGACAGTTGCCAAATAGGACTATTATCTCCGAATAGCACGAGGAATAAAGCTTTGGGGCTCATGTTAACGTATTGCTCAGCAGCAAGGTTAAGGGAGCCTTGTGGTTCATATATGACTGGCTGTGAAGGCAATCTTATACGAGAAGCTTGTGTGGCAGGGTTCTGCTTGGTGGGATCGATATCCAGGTCGTGGTCAATGTATGTGCTGGCTTTCAGCAATTTCTCTGGTTTTGGTACCATGGTACCGTCATCAGCTGGGGTGTTCAAAGATACATTTTCCCAACTGTCCATACTAGGTGTTCTTGTCGGACCAGTGGTTTCCAGCTTAATAAGTGTGTTAATTACTGTTTCTAAGCCCGCTGGGTTATCCAGAGCAGCGTTGGTGACAAGGTAATTCAGTCTTCTTTGCAGCAATTTCAAGGGCTCCAAGAATGTTTTTACCCCTAGACGTCCAGGGATATCGCTGCCTTTTTCAGGAACAACATGAAGATATAAGAAGTCACAATCCCTTCCCGGTGCTGCCGTAACCTCGGTTATACTGCGTAGATTGGCGCAGGTGGTTAAAACAAGGCCAAGATGGTTGCTATAGAAATAGATGTTGTGAGTAGTTGCAAAGGCTCTTCCCGGGAAATCTTGTTGATCATTTGGGCTAAATGTGGCCCTGAAAACAAGAACAAGACTTTCGTTTCTGGGTATATGTGGGAAAAGTAGGCGGAATTGAGAGTTGTGGGGTCTGAGTTGCTGTGGATAGTAAGATGGGTAGTCATGAGGCGCTGTGACGGTATCTGGATGGAATGCTCCAGTATCTCCAAGGCTGACCGTAGCCCTATGACGTGTCATAGATGTACGACCTTGAGGGTTACCTGTAGAGCTAGAGGGGGTATCTGGAGTTATTTCAACCTGAATTTGCCTCGTTAGCTTGGGATATGAGGATAGAGAACGGTAGGGGAAAAGCATACTACGGGCTGATTAGGAGTACTCGCAGGGGCTCCAGGCGGTTCTTCTCGTTGGAGCTGATTCACCATTGCCCATTGTGAACTTCCCCATAAATTGGCCATCATTCCAGTGGGTATCGAACTTGCGATATCACCTGGTCCCATACCAATGCCTCTCTCGGCGCTGACCATAATAGCCACTCTACTCATATTCGTAGGTGCAGGAGGGTTAACTAATGTTGATGGCGCAAGGGAGGTTTGGCTGCGATCTCCTTTAGAGGCACCTCTTGATTTGCCGCTCTCGACATTGCCATCCTTTGCAAAGGGAACAGATGTGACAGGGAACATACTATGGCTCGCGGATATCAGGCTAGCAATACCACTCGATGGTTGCGCAGGTGAAGGTGGCACAAGAAGAGGCGAAGTTGGATTTTGCTTTCGGTGGATATCTAACTTCTGGATTATCCTTGAGGTGTGATCCCGACCAGCACCGTCAGCGTCTCTGTCCGGCCCGGTAGATCGTCTAGAGTGAGAGAAATCACCACTGCTCCTGACACCTAGAGCATCTAAATCTAGTAAAGGTGCGGTGGCCCCGCGTTCAACAGCAGGCAGCTCCTCAGTGGTGTTCGGAGTCAAAGAGTCAGAAGGATCCGCAGCAAATTCAGGGGCAGGGGGTTGTGAGATTGCAAACGCTGGATCTGGTGATTTCGATTTTGAAGCCGCTGACATCTCTGAGCTAGGGCTTTCAAGAGCTTTTCGTTTAGCAGCTTCAAATGACCCTATCCAGTCTGTGAGTTCTTTTTGAGTCTCTCCTTGTAGTAGGATTGTGTTGCTCTTGGTCTTAACCTCGAAACAGAAACGGCGTTCTTCTTGAAAAGCTGGACGGATGCTGCAAAGCAATACGCCTATTCGTTCACTCTCTTCCACTCCGCCAGTCCTAGGATTCTGAACCAGACAGCCAAATATTCCATTCTTCAAAAAAGCCCAACGCCGCACCCAAAGTGTCCTCGTTGGCTTTCCGGTGAGGACCCTTAGGTTAAGCCACCCTTGCTTTTCCGGTAGGAAAACATGGCTCTCAGCAAGTTTGACGGATGCAGGTCCGTGTGAGCCAAGGTATGGCACTGTGGATATAGAATAATCGTCCAGTTCTCTTGAAGGTCTCGTAGAATACTCAACCGTCTCTTCAATTTGTTTCCTTGCAATCAGCAGATCCCTGCGGGCAGACTTCTCCCCTGCCTCCAACTCATGGGTCCATCCTTTTGTTCGTTCCATCTCCTGCCCATATTTGGTGAAGGTAGCCGAGGATGCATCCCTGACAACCCGGAATTCCCGCCACTGGTCAAAAAACACTTTAACAAGAAGCTTTTCCAGTGCAACCTTGAGCTGTGGAGCTTGTACAGAGAAGTCCATGGAGGCTTTGAGGTATGCTTTTCTGGCCTCATGGAGTTGGAATGCATCTTCCCTCAAAGAAGACGGCTCTTTTGATTTTCCCTGGGAGGAATATCTTGCTTGTAGCTGATCAAACTGCTTCTGAGTCTGTTCAAGGACCCTTCGTAGCTCCTGTACAGGTGTTAACGGAGAGTAGCGATATGTCTATATAGGGGTTGTATATCCGACCTTGAATGCTCGTATATCTCCCTGCATGAACGCCCTGATGGGTTCTGCAACCTGTACCTCGAACCGCTTGGTTGCATTTATCATTCCAGACCAGCTATCTCTAAAGCACTCCCCGTAACGTTTCATTGCGAGTAAAGCGTAGTCTTGATCGAGGATGGCTTCGGAGATATTGGGCGGGGAGGTGATATGAGCAAGGATTCCGTTCGATATGTTCTCCAGCGACGCCAGCTCGGACGTAAGCCGCCCTGTAGTTTTGATATAATTGTCGAGCCATCTTTCCATATAATCTATCTGCTCGGAGAAATGTACCGTCGTAGCTCGAAAACTCGGTGAATCAAGAGCGGCTTCCTTTAGAACTACGGGCCTAGATTACAGGGTTAGCTTCATCCTAGCAAGTTACTTCGTTCCGGATTCAAACGTCTAGGCACGATAGTCTGCACTCACACGACATTCACCAGTTTCCCTTCCTGTGGTATCGAGAGTTGTATATGTGACGCCATCTGGACAACTTCCTCCGATCTAAAAACTCCCGATACACCAAGGAATTCGGCCGCGATCAGCGAACCTCCGCCGTAGAGGACTTGGGATCAGCAAGAGGAGGTAGGATTAATGTGAAGGAAATATATTAAATCGGGAAGACCTGTTGTCATGTCTTTGCAACCACACGACGAGGCTTTACCTTTCTGACCGCTCAAACATGTCAACGTCAAGGAAGCTTAAGTAGGTTAAGTTGGATGAGTCAGCGAACCGGTGAGCTTTAAGGCTGACTACGTCATTGGTCAAGACCGCATGGGCTTTTGGCCCACCACAAGGGTATAAAAAAAAAAACTTCTGATAGAGCAGGAGGCCGAGTCTGACGGAGGACGAAAGATACATTGAGACGCACATTGGTTGTGTTTTCTTGATCCTGTGACTTTCAGTCGGTTATCTCGGTTGTCCCTCTCCCGCGCAGCCATGGAACCTCCGAATAAGCGTCAGAAGAAGGTCCTCTTTGCCGAGAGCGGCTCAGAAGATGAAGCCGTTACAGAGGACTTCAAGCTCAATGTCAATAAGGAGTATGCCAGGCGCTTTGAATACAACAAGAAGAGAGAGGAGATGGTACAGCGTTAGTCTCGATCCGTTTACCCAATGTTTTACATGGAGTGAAATTTAACCTATTACTTTTTAGTTGAGAACAAGCTTGGAAAACGATCACTCTCAAAAAGCAAGCCGCCCGCAGACGAAGAGGAAGATGAAGAAGAATCTGACTCTGAGGATTCGGAAGAGGAGGATGATGCTGCGGAACTTGTGACTGAGGCGCTCGATGAGGAAATCGCTGCTACACTGCAGGCTATAAGGTCCAAGGACCCGAAAGTGTATGACCCGAATGCGAAGTTTTACACTACCCTGGATGAGACAGAAAATGCAGAGGGAATCAAATCGGAGGCTTCCAAGGCGGAAAAACCCATGTACCTGAAAGACTACCATCGTCAGAACCTACTCAGTGGCCAGGCCGCGGTGGAGGACGATAAAGAGGCTGCGCCGAAGACGTACGCTCAGGAACAGGAAGACTTGAAACGGTCGATTGTTAAAGAAATGCACTCAACGGCAGAGAATGGGGAGCATGATGAGGAGGAGGAAGACGATGGATTCCTGGTCCGCAAAGAGAAAATACCAATGCCCAAGTCTGACCGACCTACGATAACAGATAAGGATGTTGCTGAGGCGGACCAAGACCCTGAACTATTTCTGTCAAACTTCATGGCATCTCGTGCCTGGGTGGCTACGTCAAAATCCAGCTTCCAGCCCCTGGAATCCGATGATGAAGAGGAAGACAAGAAAGCCGAGCAGTTCGAGGAAGCTTATAACCTACGATTTGAAGACCCCAATAAGCTCAATGAAGTTATTCGCACCCACGCTCGTGATACCACAAACAAGTATTCAGTCCGAAGGGAAGAGGTCAGCGGCCGCAAGCGTCAACGAGAACTGGAACGACAGAGAAAAGAGGAAGAGAAGAAGCAACGTGAAGAGGAGCGAGCAAGACTACGAAAACTGAAGATTGAGGAGCTTGAAGAGAAGCTTGCCAAGATAAAGAAGGCAGCCGGCGTAAAGAGCAGCGATTTTGCAGATGAAGACTGGGGAAGGTTCCTCGATGAAGGCTGGGATGATGAGAAATGGGAGCAGGAGATGAAACGGCGGTTTGGAGATGAGTATTATGCTGCGAATGAGGAAGAGGATGAAAGTGGTGACGAGGAGGGCGGCTCCCCAAAGAAGCGCAGGCTGAAGAAGCCTAAATGGGATGATGACATTGACATTGGTGACCTTGTGCCAGACTTTGACGAGGATCTAGACGTGGACATCGACATGGATGATGAAGATGAAGACGAGGGCGCTGAAGGAGAAAGCCAAAGTGGAGGGAAGAAGTCCAAGAAGCAGATGCTCCAGGAGAAGAAGGACAAGCAAAAGGAAGCCAAACGAGAACGACGAAAGATCGAGGCTCTGGCTGACAAGTCCCTCGAGCTCGAACCGTCTCTGCTACCGGGTTCCTCAAAGAAGTTTGGGGGCACTTTCCGCTACCGTGAATCGTCACCTGTCTCATTCGGCCTGACTGCCCGTGACATCTTGATGGCAGACGACGCTCAGCTGAACCAGTACGCCGGCCTGAAGAAGCTGGCCAGTTTCCGGGACGCAGAGAAGAAGAGGCGAGACCACAAACGTCTGGGTAAGAAGGCTAGACTGCGAGAATGGCGCAAGCAGACGTTTGGTACTGAAGAGCCGCCGGAGTTGACTGCTGAGGCTGTCCCTGCCGGCAGTACTGGAAATGCTGACGGGGAGACCACGGTAGACATCCGAGAGGGCAGCAGCAAGCGCCGCAAACGGTCAAGGAAGCACTGATGTATTTATATATGACTATGCTCGGTTCTGTGTATGCCCTTGATAAATACTGATTACTCCGTACTAGACATCTGAATGAAGCGTCACTGCGTGTTGATGTCTTGCTTTGGGCGTCACTTTGATGTACCTTGCTGACTAAGCCGCCCAGCCCTGACGATCTCCAAAGCTTCTCCTTGGAACAGCCTGAGCTCCGATGCACGAAAGCTGCAACAACAGCGTCTACTCCGTACTGTGCGAGCAGCCTGTCTTTGCAGCACGCTGGAGCAGGACTCCGTATATATCTCAGCGTTGCTGCAAAAAGAAGCCTGCATCCCAGGTTCCTCGTACTCCCACTGGCAGATTAGTGTTGCAAGATAAATTACAGCATGCGTTCCGGCAGTACCAGCCTTGCCGCCGTCTTGGCGCCAGCAAGAAGGCCAGCTGACGGTATCATTACCGCGTAACGGGAGAGCCAAAAGCCCTGCCTGCTGCACCTCATGCCTGCGCCTGTGGGTAGCGTCGCCCTCTGCTCCTCCACCCCCAGCCCCAGCTTCGTCTCTCGCTTTGCCTCCCTGGAGACGGCGCGGCGGTTACCTAGGCAGCGCCAGAGAAGCAAGACCGCCGATGTCTGGTCTCTGGTTTTGCCCCGAGTGGATTCTTCAGCAGCAGCAAGCCCAGCGACTCGTAGCCAGTAGCCAGTAGCCAGCAGCCAGCAGCCACCACCACCACCAGCCGAAGGGGAAAGAAAAAAAAAAAAAAAAAAAAAAGACGAAAAGTTTTTCCCGCCGAGGGAAAATCTCGGGAGAAGTCGGCAACGTGACAACTTCGCCCAAAGAGGCCTAGCGCGACAAATTTTCCTTTTCCTCCCTGACAACCCAATTGAGTATTTTTTCTCTTCTTCAGATTTTTCTCTTCTTCTTCTCTTTCTCTCCTCTTTCTCCCTTCCATCTCTCAGCTTCATTTGCATCCCTCTCTCCTCCTTCTTGAAGGCCTCGCATCCCTTTGCCAGCCTTTACCACCCTCTCCTCTCTTCCCTTTCTTCAGTCCAGCGAAGAAAATCACATACCGGCACAATGGCTAGCCAACAGGACAAGTCTATCTTCGGAGTCCCCGTAAGTAGCCATCAAACCCCCCAGGACGGGAGGCAGAGGCAGCTCGAGCGTTCAATTGATGAGAGCGGTTGTCAATGGCACGGCCGCGAGCTCGCAATGGGTGGAATTCGATGCTGCCGATGCTGCTCTCGAGAGTGGTGAAAAAATTTTCAGTCTCACGCGGACAGCGTCGGCTAACGTGTCTCATGGCTATAGGGCTTCGTCGTGGACTTCATGAGTACGTGGAATCACTCCTGCTAAGCTATTAAGCTAGAAGCAAACGACTGCGTTCATCAGAATCTCAACCAGAGAAAATCCTGGTGCGCAGTTTGGAAGACCCTCGGGATGGATATGCTAACAGTTCTCTGCAGTGGGTGGTGTTTCCGCCGCCGTCTCCAAGACTGCTGCCGCTCCTATTGAGCGTGTCAAGCTTCTTATCCAGAACCAGGTTTGTTCAATCGAAGTTGCAAGCGGCAGGCTTGAAACCATCGCTGCAGACTCTTCGCATGTGATAGGTAGGCTAACTCCCCAATTAGGACGAGATGTTGAAGTCTGGTCGTCTCGACCGCAAGTACAACGGCATCATGGACTGCTTCCGCAGAACTGCCGGTACTGAGGGTATGGTCTCCCTCTGGAGAGGTAACACTGCCAACGTTATCCGTTACTTCCCAACCCAGGCCCTCAACTTCGCTTTCCGTGACACCTACAAGTCCATGTTCGCCTTCAAGAAGGACCGTGATGGATACTGGACTTGGATGGCCGGTAACTTGGCCTCCGGTGGTGTAAGTTTTTTTTTTTTTTTTTTCCTGTACTATCGGCGATTTTGAAGAACATTGAAAAATCTGACCGTATATAATAGATGGCTGGTGCCACCTCCCTCCTATTCGTCTACTCCCTCGACTACGCCCGTACCCGTCTTGCCAACGACGCCAAGTCTGCTAAGAAGGGTGGTGGTGAGCGTCAGTTCAACGGTCTGATTGACGTCTACAAGAAGACCCTCGCCTCTGATGGTATTGCTGGTCTCTACCGTGGATTCGGACCCTCCGTCCTCGGAATTGTCGTCTACCGTGGTCTGTACTTCGGAATGTACGACTCCATCAAGCCTGTTCTTCTCGTCGGACCTCTTGAGGGTAACTTCCTTGCCTCCTTCTTGCTCGGCTGGACTGTCACCACTGGTGCTGGTATTGCTTCTTATCCTCTTGACACTGTCCGTCGTCGTATGATGATGACTTCTGGTGAGGTACGTATCTTATTATCCATACCGTCAACTATACACCGGTATATCATATCTAACAAGCTGTGCAGGCCGTCAAGTACTCTTCTTCCTTCGATGCTGCCCGCCAGATCATGGCTAAGGAGGGTATCCGCTCCTTCTTCAAGGGTGCTGGTGCCAACATCCTCCGTGGTGTTGCCGGTGCTGGTGTCCTCTCTATCTACGACCAGGTCCAGCTCCTCCTCTTCGGAAAGAAGTTCAAGTAAACGGCTCGCCTGCCGAAACCCGGACCATAATGGATCACAGTCCCTTGAGTGTTCATTCGTGATGGCCGTTGGTGCTTCTTCCTCTGGGAGAGAAGTGAGGAGTGTCTTGACGCCCCCGGAGCAGCATCATGGAACAACAACAGTGCGTCGAGGACCACCGAATCCTATCGTCCTCGTTCTCGATGCATTAGAGAAATCGGAGACAGGGTCGCGTTTTTCCTTTCACTACCCATCTGTACTTTACCACTACTACATGCGAGGTCTCTTTCCTGCTGATTTTCTGTGTATTTCCTCCTGTGACATCTTGGCATTCAATCAACTTCTCTCCCTTGTCCCCCCTGCCTTTTCCCTTTCTTCTGTGTTTTCACTATGTACAACCTTGTCAGATAGAAAATGTCCTTTTTTTTTTATTGCTCTCAAACTGTCTCCCTCGTCCCCGTCCTTTCCACGCAGGTCCTTCATTCGAGAGCCAATCAGAGTTCTCGAGTGGGGTCACATGATATGACGTAGCTTCCGCTCAGCCAGCTTCGATTGCAGTAGAACTCGCTTTCTACTACAAAGCATTTAAAATCAATCCAGCAGAAAACATCAGCTGCTGCATTCAAAGACGCATACCCCTCTCAACCTTGTGGGCTTTCTACCGTACTTCGGACGCTGTCATCGGTCGAGGATGGAGAACGAGCCGGAGAAGTCGCCAGCTGGGGCTGTGTCGAGTCAGGAGGAGACGCATCTCCATACTACATCCACCACTGGAACGTCTACAATAACGGCTCCTGAAGCCGAGCCAGGTCCTGGCCCAACGCCAACGGGCCCAGCAGCAACCTCGGAAGACTCGCCTTCACCTGTTCCTCCTCCACCGCAACCACAGCCCTTTCCATCCCCATATACAGGGCACAGTACGTCATGGACAGGCGCCAGCGTGCCACCCCAAGAAACCCCCAACGTCCGCCAACCCATCCCTCCTCCTCCCAAAGCATCAGAAATGCATCTCTACAAGGCGTCGACGACAACAACGAAACCGCCGAGCGCACATATAGATACTCAAACACATGCTCAACACCATCACATCCAAACTCTACCACAGCAACATCAACGCTCAGCATCAAACCACAGCAATAAACTGCCCAACCTTGAGCATCCACCAGGATACCGCCAGAATCCCGCCATCGCCCAGCCGTCACCCGCAACACTCGCTGCAGACGGCGCGGGGTTTGGTACCGGCGAGGGCCCGCATTTCGGCATGCGGCAGGTCTGGGACCCAGCGCCCGGTGAAGCGGGAGGACGATATGTGTACCAGTATGACTTCTTTGGCGACGATGAGGATCGCGACGGCCAAGCAGCAGATGATAGTGAGTGGCTGTGGAATTCTGCTGCTGGGGCATGGGAGACAACGCTTTCGTGGATGAAGAGTGCTGGAGAGAGAATGGCAGAGGCAGAAGAGGGGATTTGGAGGTGGGTTAATTCCCGCTCGTAGAAGGCAGAGGCAGCAGGTAGAAAGACGCTTTCGGGTGTAATCATTGTATCATTGGTTTAATTGTATTTTTACGGCATTTCCTTTTTTACACTGTGAAATAGGTAGAGAGGAGAGAGAAATATGAAATTAGCGTGTCTTCATTAATTAGTTATTGCGTATAGCAAGTGTATGTATAATGTAATGTTGTAGAGTGTAGTGTAAATAAGTATATGTAGTGTGTATCAAACATCTCATCTGATCTCCCCCCATGGAAGAAGAAAAAAAAACTACCTAGCTAGTAAACGCAAAGAAATGGCTGATAAGATACCCTCAACACAGCCCAACGCCAGACAGGGAACTGCAGAGCTATCGCCCAGGGGTGAACAAACTCCCAGTACAATACAGTTAAGATGACCAAGTAAGTTGCTGGACGGCAGACCAAGATGTCGTGCATTTTCCGCTGGCCAGCTGGGCTGTGTAGAAGCAGAGAGGAGAGCAGAAGAGAAGGCTCGTAAAACTTGGGGGAAAAAAAGGGGCAAGGCAGACAGGCAGACAGACACGCAAAACAGACGAGCAGGACAAGGGCGGTTGGATGTCAAGTACAATGCAGTTAAGATGACCGGACCATCCAGACCTCCCCTCTCCTGTCGCCCGTCGCCGCCGCTGAATGCCATCGTCCAGAACCAAAAAACATGCAAATGACGTTAAGAAACGGATTCTGCGCCGAGCGTGTGTGTAGGTAGGATGGGGCCTTTATTTGTTGTTTTTCTTATTTCTCTTCCAAGGTTATTCTCAATTTTTTTGTGGATGTTTCTTGATTTTCGGCTGATGGAGTTGGAGTTTGGTGGTGGGAAATCGTGTGGTATCATGGCATATCGTAGTAGGCAGGCAGGCAGGCAGGCAGGACAGAACAAAGGGAAGAACTAGAACAATAAACATGAGATATGGGGAATCATGATGCTGAACATAGGAAAGAAGGAATAAAGGGGGTATAAAGATGAGGGAAAGGAAAACCGGAAGAATGATGGTTGTTTGGTGTGGTTTGGTTTGGTTGGTTTGTTTGTTTGTTCGTTTGTTTGTTTGATGCTTGCATGTTTTCTTTTTTTTCCTTCATCTCTCTTGTTCCTGATCTTCTAACGGCTGTTGCTTTTTGCTGGTGGACATGGAACAAACAGGGAAGAAGACGAAACGAAGAACAAGAGCAAGATAGAAAGCAGAGCATAACAAGACAAACGCGCCAGCCAGCCAGGTTAATTTTTCTTTTCTTCTCTCTTCTTTTGCTCCCATTAACTGATTGATTGATTGATAGTTCCCAGATCCTGGTTCCAGATCGACTTCGACTTCCCGAGCTCGAATTCAACTTCAACCGTCATCTTCTACTTCCAGTGCCCATCGTTTCTCAGATAGCGCTGCCATTGTTGAGATGGCTGGCCTGGCACGGAAGCAAATTCGAATCGCGAGTTTATGCTAATCAAGTAAGAAAAAAGAGGAGCCGAGGGGTCGTTCGCTGGTTGTTCGGTGGTTTGTCTTTGATGTGGATTCCTCAGCTTGCGCCATATTCCAGATATGCAAGCCGCCAACCGGCCAAGAAAGGAGGTAGAAAGGGAGTAAAAGGATGAAAACACCGCCACCGTCAGATCGGAAATCCACGTTCAGTGAAGAAAACACATTAAGTAAAACGCTGGAAAGATAAAGAAAAGAAAAGAGAAAAATATAAGGAGAGAAATATACATCGTGAGGCCAAAAAAAGGAGTGTGGGTTGATAAGTATACGATCGGGGGCCAGCCACGCGTACTTGATATCGTGAGAAAAAAAAAAGGAATGAAAAGGGGGTAAGGCTTCGTTTCGGGTCGTGTCTTGGGGATTAAAATATTGTATGCTGGTTTAATAGGGAAAAAAAGGGGGGGGAGGAAGAAATGTAAAAAATGTATAGAAGTGAGGTGGTAAGGTATATGCATGGGTTGTCGGGCGGGTGTTGACGCGCGAAGGTCCGATGTTACTTAGACAAGGAAGACTACATCGACCCAAGCTGCAGAAGTGCTTCGACAGCGGCACGTTCCTCGACATTGCCACCGGGCATGGCGATGGGAGCAGCCTTGGCCAGAGCAGAGGAAGACGGTCCTCCTCCGTATCCATAGCCACATCCTCGAGCGTAGACAGACGACGGCATGGAAGGCTCCTGGCCGAGGGACTGCGCTCTGAGTGCGTCGGCACCGATGTTCGCCCAGTCCTCTTCGTCGGTCATGTCAGCCTCATCCCAGTCGCCGTCCATGATGTCCGGCTCCTCGGAAGCGGAGGAAGAGCAATACATGCGTGGCTGGCTGGCACCGTCGTCGTCAAGGGACATCTTGTCCACCTCGTCGATGTCTTGGTTCTGACTGAAATCTGAGTGGGAGAAGATGGGCGAGTCCACGGGGGCGTAGTAGTGAGGCAAGGGAAGATGATGGTGGTTGACGTGGCCAGCACGCTCAGTGGCAGTGTGATGATTGCCTCCTTCCCGCTTCTGCTGGCCACGACGGTAGGCGTCCCAGCGACCCCATCCGACTTTTTCGAACTCGACCTCGCCGTCATCCATGAAGTCAGCGTTGGCTGAGAGCGACGCCTTGCCCTCTAGGCCAGCCACGACAAGTCTCCTAGCCTTGGCAGGCGGTATCATGGCGAACCCAGGCACAGAGGTCGTCAAGTACCCCATGATGTGTCTGATGGCGAGCGGGCCGTGTGCGAGCAGGATGTCGGGCAGGTAGTGTTTGGCCAACATGGCAGGGGTGATGTCTCCCGAAACATCAGCCTTGCCCTTTGAAGTGGATGCGGCTGCGGCTGCGGCTGCGGCTGCGGCTGATGAAGGAACACGCCTGTCCTCAGTGTCTTGGAGGTCGATGTCTGAGTCGACTGCGTCTATCTCGTGCCGGGTGTCATGCGGAACGAGGGAAGAGGAGGCCGGCGGCGACCGGAGGTTATACTGGTGGAGGGCCTCCTGGGTGACACGCTGCTTGAAGCCCTGGGGGTTGAGGCAAGGAGAGATGGACGAGGGAGGCGTAGGCAGCATGCCATGGCGGCGAGGAGCATCCCGCGACTTGGGAATGTCCATGGAGGCCGTCTTGGGAGCTGAGCGAGGAGCCATGACTCTGATGGTATCTGGGGATGGTTGTTGTAACTGCGAGTTGAGTGAGAATTAGCATGTGACTAACGCGACCATCTGGAGTCATAGGAACAACGCCAAGGGGGGGAAGGGAACCAACGTCAGTGAAGACCACAAAATATGACCACAAGCGCGAGTATCACGAGCTGAGAGTTATCACAGATAGACCAGGACCCCGTATAGAGTCCTCTTGTTTGTTGCTGTTGTTGTTGTTGCTGTTGTTGTTGTTGTATGAAGTAAGAAGAGAGAAGAGAAGAAAGACGCGGATATATTAAGACTGTACAGAAAGTGGAGAAAAACAGAGGAAAAAGAGAAGGGCCAGTCAGGTAGGTCAAAAGAGCCAGAAGGTCAGGGATGAAATCTTGGTCAACTTTCTTCTGCGGCTTCTGCGTCTTCTCTGCCTGCTTGCGTGCGTCTTCTCGGGGGGCTGTTCGGTGCTGCTGCTGGATCTGCTGTCTGTATGTTGTTGGTAGTTGATGGAATATAAAAGAGAAGAGGAAGAAGAGAAGAAGAAGAAGCAGCCGGAAGGGCGAGGAAGGACGAGAAAAGGCGAAAAAAGAGCGTGCAGAAGGACGGAAAAGTGGAGACCTGGCCCCTTTGGGGAAAGGGCCTTGCCAAGCCAGGGAGAGTCAGGTGGGACCCACTTTTTACTCTTTGCTTTTTTAGGGTCTCCCCGCAGGCTAAGCCGCTTTGGGCGCTAGGCCGGGTTGACCCGATCTGGTGGGTGGCACGTGAGCTGACTCAGCGAGCAGATACACAGAGCGATAAGCTGATAAGAGCTGGAGATCGCAGCGGTAGCGAGTAGATAGTAAATAGTAGCAGAACAGTAGCAGAACAGTAGCGGCAAAGACTCGACAAGAACAGAGCAAGGCAAAGATGCATATGAGATACTTTCTATCTCCTTCTGCTGGCTTCCACTGTCCGACGACTGCCCTCTTCCTGCTTCTTCCTGCCTGGCCTGCCTCTCCACCCGCGCCTCCCGCCAGACCTTTCGCGCTGCTCCGGCGGCTGCCCGAGTCCCTCTCTGCCATTGGCCGCTCGCCCACCAGCCAACCACTGCGCGCCTTTCCTCCATCTTCCTCTGCCTCTGCCGGCTCGTCGCCCATGATGCAAGTCATCCAACTGACGTTTCTTGCTGCTTGTTCTTTCTTCTGTTCTTGTGCTTCGTCCGCGATGAGGGGTTGGGATCTCCCCTTCGCTTACTTCGCCTCCCTCGCGTAGCGCTCGTACCCAATATTATCCCACTTTTAACAGGCGTAAACAAATGATATAATCACTCAGCTACCAAGGTCACCCATATATAGTTATAATAGCACCCAACTTCAGCCCTCTTTTCGCCTAAAAGGCCTCCGCTCTGAGCCCGCAGACTCCAGACACCTTGCGCGTCAGGACAGCGCCAGTGCAGCGGCATGTCGCACAGTCCGCATCATCGCTTCATTGCATCATCACCGATCGCTCTCAGGGTTCTCGATAACATAACACCCTGGGCAAACTTCTAGATGTAACAGCGTTTGGGATCCCTCCGTTCTTTTCCGACCCCGACCTGCCTGCGCTCTTCTTTCCCCCTTCGCCAAGCGTCCCTCGCTTCTCTCCTCACTCGCCCTCGCCCTTCCGACGCTTCCCCCACAGGCTCACGGCTCACGGCTCACGGCCGGTCCTGTCAAAAATGTGCATAACCATGCATCTTGTCGAGTCTTGACTGTGCTGACTGTAGGGCTTATATTATCATGCATGCCCAACCTCGCATTCACAGGGCAGGGGACGACCTCTGATTGGCTGAACTTTATAGCCGCCTTTTCCTCTCTGCGTCCATGTGTCTCTGCCTTCTCATTCGACGGGCAACCTTGGACTTGGAACTTATTAACAGCATTTCTTCCTCACTGTCGACTTTCGAGATTATAACCTCACCTAGAGTCTCACAGACGCCACGTCGACTCTCTCCCCCTCTCCCTCCCTCTCTCTCCCTCTCTCTCCTGTTACGGAGTACTGCTAACTGCTTCACCGATCTCAACAGCTAACGAGTTACAGGCCTTCTCTGACCGCCACCCAAGAGGATACGCCGCCACCACCAACAACGATCCAGCTTGTGCCCGTTTTGGCACTTTTTTATACCCCTTATTCGTACCATTAAACGCAAGCTTTCATGGTATATTATATTTTCCAGGATTTCATTCCCCGACTGGCCGCTCGTTTCTCAATTCAAGTAAAATGAGAACTAGTTCATCCATTTCCCCCTTTACTCATGAACTTGCAAGGATTGAGCTTTTTCGAAACAGCGGGTGCAACGGGCCTTGTTTTCTCGATAGCCCATCTTTTCAAGTTCCGAGCAGGATGGCGAAAAAAGGGGGATTTATTGGGGGGGGGGGGGATCTAGCTTTGGATACATTGGATCGATAATCCTCCCCATAAACTCATATCCCCATAAGTAGGAAAGCGATCTTTCGAACTTTGTCTTCTTGGAAAAAGTGCTTGTCAATTGGAGAGAATACACCATGGAGTAGTGGAGATTAATCATGCCGTCTGATCGATCGTTCCCCTTTTTTTCATCTGCTTTTGGTCCTTTAAATTGATGATCATGGGCTTGTCGATAGGGCCAGACTCTCGTTTTGCGCCTTCCCTTCTTTCATTTCTTTTTTTCCCTCTTCGTTTCGTTTCTTTTCTTTTTGCCGTTTTGTGATCTCGCGTTCGTCCCTTGAAACTGTGGATGGTTCGTTGATGCTTGACCCCCTTTTTTCATCTAAGGTTTGAGCGGGTAATTTTGGTACATTTTTGTACTGTATTCTATAGAATACTATATTTTCATTGGCTGATATATGTAAATTTGGTAATATCCTTGTCACTGCTGAGTTATTTGATGAGTAATAAACCTATTTCCTTAATGGGAAATACTTTGCATTAGTCATCATATTATTATCACCTGACTTGAATCTCCAAGAAAAGTAGTCACATGATATATTAGTCAGCGATTTGGTTGTTCCACCTCGTACAAAATTTAAGTTAGAGGGGATCATTTCAATCATACCATCCTTCTAGACAACGAATTGCTAAACTGCTACTTTCTCAACATGCCACAGAGTTGAACAACACATCAGTATGATGTCAGGATTCTCGATCCAAGCAAGAATTGTTGTCATCCCTTTTAATATACGAAATAGATGCCATTACTTGGATCTGGGGCATCACTATACTCGGCCATGAAATCCACCATGGATTTTTAGTATCTTCACTCCAGGTTGGCCAGTGATGGCTAGAATACCACGTTTGTCTTATCGCCAAACACGGCAATTCACTCGCCCGTGTACATGTACATATACCGAACCCTAGGGTCTCACACCCAAACATCCCGCAGCGACTATCCGTCAATTGATTCCTTCCCTGAACCGTTTGCAGACATATCCTGTCTATTGGCCCTGCATACTGGCAGAATTGCAGGTACAAAGCCTACCCGGGTCATGGCCCAACCTACCCGTCGGGAGATCCAGACGATTCAGTTTTCCATTAGCAGTTTGACAGTCCCTCTAGTTCCCTCTCGGCGTATTCATTGTGAATTCGCGCTTGCTCTACAAAGTATACAAGCCCTAAATTGGAAAGTTTGCTCCCTCTGCATCCTATGCGATAGCTATAGTTGGTTTCGTATGTTAATCAACCAAATCCGTGAATCTGGTGGATATAGTCGACAATATGGTAGAACCTAGCACGTGGTGTGCAGGGCTGCCCTCTTCTCCTTAGTGACCTGTCGACAATGAGAGGGATATTTTCTTCAAGGAAGTTAAGGGCACGCTTGCATATTTAGTGGCAGTTCCATAGGCATTGACATCACTGCTGGCTCTCTGAACTGACCCCTCCAACAAGCACATTTCTGTTTTTGGCTTGGAGAGAATTGCGAGCACTGTTGCGGTAGAAGGGTGCCGTTTATATTTAAGGAAAGGATAACGGTTCGTTCATATAATTTTTGTTAGGCTAACTGATTCTTTGAAAAGCCGCAAATGAAAGAGGAGCATTACCCGATATATACCCTTTCGGAGAAAGATACCCGTCCACCACTAATCTGGCTCCTATCAGTTGATACCAACACCAAAAAAAATACAAGTGTGACTAGCTGTATATGAAGATACACTTCCATCTAGATTTTTTGACAACTTCATACCAATAGCATGTACCTTGTCTTCCCCATCAAGCCGAGCTATGTGGTGTGAATAATTAGCGGGTATCGCATGGCTAGCTCCCTGCCGCCCCATACTGATACCATCCCAGATACTTTTCCCCCTTGTTTGGACTACAAACTCTGTCAATTTCCTAGTGGAATCAATTCTTGGTACGGTCTCCACGGCGCTCTTTTTAGACTCCCTCAAAGTACATCCCTCCAAGATGATCGATACAATGGAGAGTGTAGGGTCGATAGGGCGGCCAATACTGCCCTAGAAACAGCGTATCAGTAGCTGTCGAAGGTAACTAATGGGACACAGATACACACCCTCTTTTCGCCCACTTAATTGAATGTACTAAACATCATGCAATGTTATCTCTTCATCACGTTGGGGCTTTATTGGCTGCCTCACATTGGAAGAGTTGATGACTGTTGACTTGCAGACTCATGCCCGCGATTGCGCTTCGAGGAGAGGAGAGGTCCGGGTGGGGCTGGCGGCCCGCAGAATAGCCTTAAAACTTTGAAGGTAAAAGGATAACTCGATGACAGTTACCCAACCACTGTTGTCATCACGCAGACCATTCACCAAGGATGTTTGGCTCAATCCACTTTCAAAAACTTTTATAAGAAGTTGTTGAGCCTTGAAGTCTCCTGGCACAATATTAACGAGATGCCATCTCGGTTTGGTGGTCAATTGGTTGCCTTTTTCCTATGGTACTTGGAGTAAACGCTAACTCGGCTGGCAAGTACTCCGTAAGCTGGATGCATATTACTGACGAGGAAGTCAAGGGCTTGCCTTATAATAATGACGGGCTAGTAAGTCCCATGCTCTTGGTTCTTCGTCCGCTTCGCTGATTATAAATGAGCTTCCCTCGCGTTTAGTTTACGTAACTAACTATGTGGAGGAGCTTGACCCACAGGCAACTTCCGTGACCCTATCATGGGTGCGATATTTATCTATATAATTCGATATGGGGCCGTAGGTTCAAGAGTGATCCTAGCTCATTCATACGATGCCTGTCTATATGTTCAGATGTGAGTTACTCGTTTACTAAGGAATGGCACAGGCTAATCACGTCTAACAAAGAAGGTATTCTCTCCGTTGGAAGAAGGTTGGCGAACGTAAGAAGAGCACTTTTTTCTCTTTACTTGCTTTGCATAACTCTACGCCTAAATACTCAATTCCAGAGAAAGATATCCATGCCGTTACTCTGGATTCTGGCCCAAATAGGATCCACATCTCTGAGGGCCAGAGTATTGAAACCCCCTGCACACCTGCATAACCACTTAACTACTTAGTAAATGGCTCAATACAGCCTTCGGATTCGAGAAGGGATTTTCTTGGGTCTGATAAATACACCAGTAAGAAGCGAAAGAAAATACAACGCAGCCTAACAAACTGCAGGGAAAATTCTATACCTCTAATCTCAATGTCCACTGTCCACTATGCAATAAATTATCTGTACGGAGTACGGATAGCTAGTTAACCAACCGTGTGAGCAGAATAACACTTATATACCCATATTCAACACGCCTGAAAGAAGAGTATTTTTACATACCAGTTGAATGTTGTATTTTTTTTTTTGTTTTAGAGAATCAACCCATGTATCCTGCTTTAACACTTATCTGCCATGTTTGAAAATGGGGCCGCTTATGGTGTACCCTGGATTTTTATGCATGCCCGGCTGCAGCTAGGTGACTCGAAGTCAGGGACTATACCCAGAGTAACTTGGCTCCCCGGCCTGTCTGCCCCCTGTAAATTACTCCGTCGACAGGGTAAAGGTTGAGCTGGTGGCCCAAGAGGGGGTCGCCAGCTGCGAAACTATTTACGGAGTAAGCTGGCCCATATATTTCCACTGTATATAACCAGCCTGCCACTTTCGCTAGTTAGCTGTTCAAGACACTGATAGGAAAGTGAATGTATGGCGGTTATCTGCTATTAAATTGAACCTCTTATTATCATGGCTTCAAATTTGACAACGTCAATCCTTCCGCACGCGATCGTTTTAGACTATGCACAGGCAGTGCTAGAGACGGGTCAATGGCTCAGAGCTGCGAAATCCCATATTTCAGCACATCCTTCGGCCGTGAGCCTTGCCATCATATCGGGGATAGTCATATATGTCATCTGGTCAAGTACAGCACGTTACTTACGCCTTAGTCCGTTCCATGGCCCGCCATGGGCAGCATTTACACGCTTATGGCTGTGCAAAACAATAGCTTCTGGTGAATCCGCAAGTCGATTTATAAATGTCAACCAGCAATATGGTCCCGTTGCTCGAATTGGGCCGAACCACCTCATTACCGACGATCCAGAATTTATTCGCAAGATTCTCGCGGCCCGATCGCATTATACCCGTGGACCATGGTTTGACTCCATTAGGATAGACCCTGAGGTGCCGAATATAGTATCCGAAAGACATCCGGGTAGACATAATCACTTACGGCATCAAATGTCTGGGGCATACGCAGGACGGGATGTGGAGGGGCTAGAAGATATGATTGATGAGCGTATCCAGGATTTTGTCGAAGTGATTGAGCGGAAATGGCTCTCTGATGATAATGGGACAAATGCATTTGACATTGCCAAACGGGTCCAGTTCCTGGCTGTCGATATGATCACACATATTTGCTTTGGAAAACCAATGGGATTTGTGAAGACAGATAGCGATGTGTCCAACTTCCTGAAAACAGTCGAATCCCAACTGCCCATAGTTCAACATTTCTCGGTCATCATCGAAATCAACGATCTGTTGCACTGGTTGGTGGGATTTCCTTTTATCAGAAGGCTCATAGTACCTTCATCCCAAGATAAAAGTGGAATCGGCATTATCATGGGGGTATGTTATGAATAATATCCAAACGTTCAAAGCGCTGTCCCTCGTGGCGGTACGTTGACAACAGTCAGATCACTCGTAATGAAGTCGAGAAGAGACAACAGTCCAAGAGTGAACCGAAGAAGGACATGCTCACATCTTTTATGAAGCATGGACTTTCTCCAAGTGAGGCAGAAACAGAGTTGATTATATCCTTGTGAGCTCTGATCCGTTAACCATTTAACATTATGATATAATTCTAACAAACTCTAAGGGTCGCCGGTTCCGATACAACTGCAACTGCAATCAGGGCAACCTTACTTGCTGTAGCGTCCAATCCACGAGTATATGCTCGGCTGACCAAGGAAATCGACGAAGCAGAAGCCAGTGGGAAGATATCCGCGCCGATTCGAGACCAGGAAGCGCGTCGTTTACCATATCTCCAGGCCTGCATAAAGGAAGGCCTTCGTTGTTTCCCGCCGGTAGCTCAGTTGCGCGAACGCATGGTTCCTGCTGGGGGAGATACATACAATGGACAGCATATCCCCGAAGGCACATTCATCGGCTTGAATACCTGGGGCGTTCAGCTAAACCCAGTGTTTGGTAACGATCCTCGGGTGTTCCGGCCTGAACGTTGGTTAATTGACGACGAAGCGCGTCTACAAGAGATGTCTCGAGTCCAGGAACTCATTTTTGGACACGGCACAACACGGTGCCTGGGTATCCCCATCGCCATGATGAACCTGAACAAAGTATTTCCGGAAGTATGTCCTATATCAATATCCAGGTATATATAATAAAGTTGGATGCTAACTGCACTATTCGCTAGTTGTTGCGTCGATTTGATATCAGTATTATTAATACTACTAGTCCGTGGACCAGTATATGTTATGGCATATTCTTTCAGAGAGAGATGAATGTGAGGGTGTCTTATAGACAAAATGTATAGTTCCGTGACATAAGGGTAGAAGTTACCCAAATAATGGTCTAGTTAAAGTTAACTTTCAAGAACCACAAGAAGTAACTAGTTAGCTACTTGAAGCTATCATGGCTATAATCTTTTAGGCATTTATATCAGTTTTCATGATATATAACGCCGGATAAGTAAACAAATAAATAAAAACTGGAAAGGATAAATTCAAACAAAATAGGATATTGTCAGATACATTTATGGGATGTTTACCCTAAAGTTATTAGCTTGATAAGGGAATAAGCTCATTTGGTAAGTCAAATGTAAGTTAACCCTGTGGACTTCATTTCAATCTATCACCACCCTCTTCTTCCTTCCCTCATGGTAACACCAATATATTGAGAGTAATTTAATTACATGCGAGCCCAGTATTATTGAGTCAATACCATAAACCCGTTCAATGTCCATTCTCTTTAGCACACTCATCAAGGGCATCGAACACTTTGTCGACGGTTGTGTTATCGACAGGGTCTTCGACATTAACCCAGGTTTTTGCAATGTTTTGGTGACTATTTTTGTTCGCCATTTCTCGTATAGTCTCATTGGTAGCGTTCTTGTTTGGCTGGACGTAAATTTTGACGAGGTTCCCAACCTGAACACCCCTGTCAATCCGCACTCCAATGTTTGCATCATGGCTAGGTGCTGGGATAATGCGGCGTCCTGCAGCCGAATTGTCACCAACTGACGGTCGAAACCCTAACCCTATAGCAAGAATACCTAACCCAAATGCTGGGAATCCGAAAATGGTTGTTTCCAGTGAAGTTGCAACTCTCGAATTCGTAAGAGAAACTTTTGACTCCGATTTTGATGAGGATGAAAGTGTGTTAACTTGAATACTTTCATTTATAGCTTCGCACGGTCCTTGATATTCCTGTTCCTAAAGTTCTTGCATGGAGCTCCCCAGGGCCACACCAGAATCTAGTAAGCGCCGAGTATATGTTAATGGAGAGGGTGGGCGGCCGTCAATTGAGTGATGTTTGGGACAACATGTCTGAAAGACAACGTTTCAATTTAGTCAAGAATGTCGTTGAGATTGAGAGGAAACTTGTGAACACGCCGTTTACTGGCTACGGCAGCCTCTATTATAAAGATGCATACGAGGAAAGTTATCCGGGATACTTCAAAGCTATTAATGCTGAAAAAGTGCCTGGAAAGGAAAACGAAGTATCCCGATTCGTTATTGGCCCAACAACGGAGAGGGCCTTCTATGCCGACAATGATGAGAAACATAACATCAGTCACGGACCTTGTGAGTTAAACCAGACACTAATTCCTTTGCTTTTATAAGTTTACAGTTTGAAGGGGAGACGGCTGTGGAGTACCTTGCTGCTATAACGAAGCGTGAGATATGTTCGGTTCAGAATTTCAACCTCGCTAGTCCAGGTGATACCTTGCCATTTTGGGAACGAGTCAGTACGCCATCTTCCTCTAAACTCCACGTCAAGCTCCTCGAACAGTTTATTACCGTTCTACCTTACATAATACCTCCATCTGAAATCATTCAACCTATCCTAATGCACCAGGATCTTCATTTTGACAATATATTTGTTGATGAAACGGACCCATCAAAAGTTTCGGGTATAATCGACTGGCAAGCAACCTATAGTTCCCCGATCTTCACGCAGTCTAGATTTCCCTCAATTTTCGACTGTGAGGATCCATACACTTGGGGTGCCGTCCATCTTACGCTCCCAGAGCACTTTGATACGTTATCAATAGAGGAGAAAAAGCTGGCCGAAGATTCGCTTGGCCGCCTAAGGTTAAAGAAATTTTACGAGTTGGCATCGAGAAAAATGAACCCCCTGTTAGCCAAGGCGATGGATGCAATGAGAAATGATGAGTGTCCCACCTCGTTTATATTTTATATTGTCCAACAGTCTGCGTTTGACGGACCAATACCCCTGAGAGAGCTTCTCATTCAAATTTATGAACAATGGGATCAGATAACACGAAGAAATGGCGTGACTCTGAAGTGCCCTATTCCATTCACAGAGGAAGAGATAAAACAAGCACGTCAACAGGCCGAGGAATGGGGGGAATCATTCAGCGAATTCGAGAACTTCCGAGCCAGTCTCCTTGGCAAAGATGGATGGGTTCCGCATGAACAGTATGAGGAAGCTAAGCGAGCGTTTGAAAATTCTAAGGGTGAGCTAGAGAGGTTAAGGAATGGTTTGGAACACACTTTGTAATATGAAGTAGACTTAATCATTGCCAACGAATGAATATGCAATCATCGGCTGGAATCTTGCTATTATAGCGAGGTAAAAAAATAGCAAGATTCACTCCAGTGCCAGCAGCGGGAGAGAAATTCTGACAATTTAAATTATCTCTTGTGCATCAACCGCGACTCGAACGCGGATTGGGTGCTTGACCAATTGTGAATGGAAGGCACCCGTGCTACCCTTACACCATTGATGCTATTGTGTGTTGGTGGGGCTCGCCTGTTGGCTTCATAAAATCTGCTCGTTGGTGTTCTATATTTACTACGACATTTCACCTTATTTAAGCTTATGTCACTCCCGATGCGCCAAGACGGCGCAGGAACCATCTTTTATTCATACGAGTAACCTCCCTCACACTAAATATTATAGTAGTTATTTCGTTTGATTTACGCCGAGACCATGTATCCGGGTAGTCTTCACTATAAAGACATGAATATCGCACAACTAGTCATGAAATGGTATACAATCAATCCTCGTCTATATGATCCGTGTCTCTCTCTACCTTCAACCGTGGGGCTTTGCCTTTACCTTTCCCGCCCTGCCCCTTCTGTCCACCTTTTCCTGCTGGGGCTTTTGCGTTTAACATCCAGTCTGGTGACTCTTTCACCAGTTCTCCGTTCTCCCACAATACGCCCAAGCCGTTCTTTCTTTCGACCACGATGTCGAAGAATTCAAGTCCAATCTTCTTGTCTTCGGTCCCATCGGTAGACATACCCTCACTTAAAATCACGCCATTCTCGCTTAGGCCGAATGGACACCCAGCAGCCAAGGCACGCTTAAGGTCAATATATATCAGTATCTGAGCATCTGCTCTCATCCCAGAAATTACGCCATCCTGTCCTCGGCCTTTGGTTGAAGGAGTTGCGACCTCTCCATCTCTCCCATTAGGCAGGATTGTACTTATAGATGGGCCACTGGCGAAATGTATGTGATTCCTTCCCATACACCTCAGCCCACCGCTTTGAAGTATCTTTGGCCATGTAGCGTGGTAGGTTCCATGAACAACGGTATCAGGCAAGGGGACAGGAGGATTTTCAGAGAGGGTCAGTGGTGTGAGTAGCGAAGCGGCGTCGATACACTTCATGCTATGTCCTTGTCGCGCACGGATCAGGTAATTATTCGGATCCGGGTCATTCGCAGCGAGTGCCTGACTGGTAGCAGTTGAAAGAGAGGATCCATCACCTGTGGTTGCTTCTTCTGTTGCCTTTATCTCAGCTGAGGTAGGTTGACCTGGGATATATAGAAGGCCAAATCTTTGCTTATCGGAGGTAGAGACTGCTTCTAGGACGTCAGAAAGGGTGGACTTTAGGCCCTTGAGTTTTCTATATTGCAGCTGAAGGATGTGTCAGTATCTGGTGCTTAAAGGGGCCCGTCTGTATGCTAACCAGTTCGCCAACGTTGGCATAGCCCTGTCTGTCGATATTTATTCCTTCCTTCTCCGCTGCATGTCGCAAGATAAACGTAAGTTCTCTTGATATTCTATATTCTCTTGGTTGATCCCTGCCCCCTCTTCCCCGAGGCGGCGCCATTTTGATAGGTATAAAAGAAGTTGTCTGGCGGCGAAGACGGACGAAACGCGGGGAGGTGGGATGGAAATATCGAGTCGGAGAGAAGGCAGAGGGATGATGCTTGGAGACTTGACGGCTCGCAGAAAAATACGTTGTCAATGAGTTCAGTCCTCTCGCATAGTATATTAACATAGAAAAGGGCCCTTGTATCTATTGTGCTGATATGCAAGTCCAGGTCAGCCTAGTTGGTTCATGGGTCACGCACGAGGCTCAAGATGACTCACTACCGGCTGCCTTCTTATCAATGACTAGTAAAGATGTAATTTCCTATTTCCTCTTAATTAGTTACTGTTTAAACAGTAATAGAGCTACTTAAGAGAGGCAGCTATTTTGACAAAGTCCTAAAATTGTATATACTAACTGAGTTGCATCTCCCAAGCTCAAGCCTGGCCCGAAGACGTTACTCCAGAATATCTAGGGCTGGTGTTTATCACGTGATACCAAGATGAGACCCACTTCATCTGACTAATATTAACTAAGTTGATTGGCCCAGCCAATAAATAGTCACGTGAAGATAATTAGTCAGCTAAGATGTTAACGTTATCTCCTGGTTTGTTGAAACATGTTCAGTTTTAGCGTATTTATTAGTAATCAAATATAAGGCTCTTATTGGTTACTAGGAGGTTAGCTTAATTATATAGTCAGCGCGTCCATAACCCATCTACTAATATCTATAAAAGCTATCGCATTTAATATTAATATCTATTTCTTCTATAAGAAAATCTCTAGTATGGCTCCAAAGACTATATTATAAGGTATCTTATAGGTGTAAGGTAGGTAATATCCCTATGTACTCCGTATACTCCGTATAAAAAGAGGATATTGGGAGGCTCTCTATACTTTACCTAATAGAGCCTAGCTTCTATTACTAATATTACAAATACTAATTGAATACTAAAAATACATAACTTCTTCTATTAGAATGTGCCGTTTGGCGTCATGGTGGTATCAAATAAATGACCGCTAAAACTGACATGTTTCAACAAACCAGGAGTAGTAGTGCCTTAATAACGTCCATCGACTTGGAGATACGCGACTGCTGCATCGTAGATTAAGTGAAGCGGTAACTAGTATAGTTAATATTAGCCCAGATACTCGCCCGTTTGGAGGCTTTTGAGGCAAGACAGGAAAATAAATCGCAAAGCCGCCGTTTAATTCGAAGATAAAGGGAAAATGTCGAACATTTAGGTATAGATGTGCAGCTATCTTGTGAAGCATTTGTTTGGACACAAATATGGATAATATACTTAGCTGATAAGAAAGGGGAACTGGAGAAGGAGAAAGATAAAGAAGGAGAGAGGATGAAGAGCAGGGGGAGCCGGTGGTAGGGATGTAGATGATTGGGGGCAAGAAATGGTACTACGGTGCGTTTTGAGGAACTACAAAATTTAGAAGAGAGCTTTAATGTGCTTGTTCGTATTGCGGTAGGCTTTAGAATCAGAAGACTCGGGGGTGATTCATAAGGCTACAGAGCGTTATCCTATCTACCAGATCGGCTAACTAGTGTGGGCCGAATAGGTAGAGAACTTGTTTGTATGAATGACTGTAAGAGGTTTCATGCCTCCCATGATTCTATTATTTTCTTCCATACCATTGCATTTATAGCACTAACTATTCTACTCTTCTTCTAGCTCCTGCAGGTTCTCATCCAAATGAAGTTCAGCACAAGCTGTTTATAGATTTGGAACGTAAAAGCGGTTCTTATGCAGAAACTACACAAAAGCTAGTATATTTCATTAACGATCACAGATGCATCCACACTCCGCAACAGGGCATATTTTATGCTTATTGAACCAGTCCCTCGCGTGATCTGCATGAAACCCATGGTTACAGTTGACACAGAACGCTACAAACCGTCTCATAATATCATCGTGGCTCTGAGTAGTCGATGCTGCCTTTTTTGAATCTTCTGCGATTGATGCTTTGGACATCGGGTCTGGGGTCCCCAACCACAACGAGCATATACCGCAGCGAGGCATATGCCGGTTGCATTTGGGGCATGCAGTGCCATTCATGGAGGGGTGACCTAATGGGTTCCCTGGGGTTGCGTGGGAATATTCGGTGGGCGTAGTAGCAACCTCAGAATTTGAAGTGTCCTGTTGTGTAAGGGGTCGGGTGCAGTAGTTACAGACAAGGCTAATTTGTTGGAGAGGTGGTTCCACGAGCCTGCGTGATTCCCATGTTATCGCGAGTTTCCTCGACTCGATATCGAACTTTACTCTGTTCAGATGTAGTTTCCATGAGTTCATTTGGTGTCGGTAGGTTTCGCGCCATGCCTCGAACCGGGCCTTGCTCGGGGCATCTCTTATAAATCGTGGAACCGTGTGACACATCGCTAGGACGGGTGTCTGCACGTCATTGAACTTGTTAATGTATGATTGAAACAAGTCCAACGCTGCATGATCAAGACCTGTAAGCAGAACACCCTCAACGTCTCCCTGGTGTATAGCCTGCACAGAGGCATCTCTCAAGTAGCTCGTGAGCTCGGCGTCAGGTAGCCAGCGCAATGCCACTTCCACACGGTACTTGAGCGGAAGGGTTGCTTCTTGCAATACAGACATCCAGTCACTATTGCCAACCATGGCTAGTATGGCCCTGGCATAAGGGTCTGTGAGTTCAGCTGCGATTTCTGCACATGTCTCTTCCCAATCGGGCCCTGCGTCCCCTTTTGACCCTCCTATGATGGCCATTGCCAATAATTTGTGTGCTTGGGATGGTTTATTCTCTCTTAGCGCCTTGTAGGCTAACTTCACCTCATCTTGGAATATAGCTAAGGCAGCGGCTTTGGAATGTTGCCTGTCTGCCACGAGCTTATTCACCGTATTAACAAGGTCATCATTTGACTCAGGTGCGCCGCATATATGAAGGCAAAGCTGACGTTTTTCAGGAAACTCAGATTCACAGGTTTTGCTTTGAGCGAAGTTAAGCTTGTGTACCAATTCTTGGAAAAGCTGGCTTATACTTCGTTCTTCAGCCAGTTCTGAGCTATCACGTCTGCTTTCAAAGCTTCGTCCTGTTTACGACGTTAATAATCACCAAAAATAAGAACCTAGGGCATACTAGATGGACGAACCGAGCTTCCCATTCCAAACACTATACACGCCTACATAATTCATGTCAATTCCGTGTATGATCATCGAATCGTTCTTTGACCGCGAGTGTGCACCTAATCGTTTTTATTAGTAAAACAGAAAATTCGATGTAGACAGGTAACTTACGCCTAATCCAATCCCATAACTCCTGTAGAGAGTGGTTATCGGATACTATAGCCTTATTTTTCTCGCTATCCAGCAGATATCCTTCTTTACATCTCAAGCGGGGTATAGTTAGCCATGACAGTGCATCATCAAATGAGGGATTGTCGTCGATTGGAAACGCGCTATCTCGCTTTTCGTGGTTTGTTTCAGCCGTTTCGCCAATTTGGTGACCCGAGGTGGATTGGTGGCTATGTTCCTCCTCACTCGAAAGTACATTAGGAGTTTTTCCAAAATTAATTTGTGATGCAGTGAGTCCTAAGTCTGATGATGGCCTCAAAACCATAGGGCTCGAGTCACTGCAAACTGGACCTCCTATACTCAAAGAACACTTAGAAGAAAGATCTGTGGAGGATGGCGGAGGTGGTGGAGTAAAAAGGCTGACAGTCTTGTCAGCCAAGAGTGTTATTGCAACCGGTTGAGATACCACTCCTTTGTTTAGAAAATCGAAGGAAGTAACCCGTTGCCAGTCTTTCCTTGCAGCACCGCCAGAAGGGAGAATAGAAGGCCTGAAGTCTTGCACTTTCCTAGTATATATTTGCTCAGGGTAATGTTTGCTCGAGTCTTGCCCTAGGGCATGTTCTAAGGATGATTTGTTTTCCTCGGAAAGATACTCCTTCGCAATATCATAGCAACGAAACGTTCCGGTTGTGGTAAGCATTCCTAAGCATCCCCGCTTTGATCGACAAAACCGGAGACTTGAGATTGTAGAGTTGGATTCTATATCTGGTTTTAAGTCCAACGCAGTAGAAAGAGGACCAGAATCCGCACTAGCAGATGCGGCACCTGCGGCTGTGGGGTAGCGAAATCCTGAACGGCGATCCCATATGCTAATGGCGACGTCATTCGAAGGGAAACAAGCAGCAATATAGTTCTCGTCTAGCCAATCTATGGCTATGTTGTGGACACACCGTGTGACGAACTGCAGTGATGGGCTACCAGATGACTCTAGAAACAGACGAGGTTTAGATACTATTTTCAAAAATAAAGTGATGTAACTCTGGCAAAAGGGCAGGGGTTGAAATATGTACATACCTCGTAGGTCATATATCCTAACTGACTGACCTCGAACCCCAACAACTAGCGTTTCTGGGTGATCCTTGAAGAACTTGATACTTGTAATTGGTTCTGAGCTGGCAAGCTTCCGGAGCGGTTCTGTAGGATACCGACTGGATCCAAATGGTCGAGCGGAGCTTCCTAAGCTAAGGCGCTGATTCACATTCCATATATTCAGGCTGAAATCATTCCTAACTTTGTCGAGGCCAGCAGCTAGCAATCCCTGTGTATTAAATGCAACAGCATTGCAAGATCTCTGATTTCGTATGGGGAAAACAACAGGACTCTGCGTATCATCATCTAAGCGGAGAACTGCTGCCTCTCCCGACGACTGTCCAACAACGGCTAAGTTCTCATCGGCTGATGACCAGTCAAATGCTCGGAATGGAGGGACTGAGTGTCGGGAAAATAGAACATCATACTTCAACGTCCCCAGGACATCATCACGAGAGGTGACCTTGCATAAGTTGAAGGACTTGCCGGGTATATCGACGTAGAGAAACCTCTGGTCGTCCAATGTTGAACTCGGTGACCAGCGGACAGCGGTCTCCATCCTGTGTGGGGTATCTTGGCTCTATCGTAAATTAATGCATATGATGAAAATTGGCTTAGGCGTATTTCACCCGGGATTAAAGGCCATGGCGATTATAAGGCCATTATCGTTCAAAAGTAGTCAGTCCGTCCTGGGGTTGACGTCCTTTGGCCTGTCTGAAAGTACACGATCTTCTTTCTCCAGATGCGACTAGGAAGGTAATGCTTATATAAGCAGTCTTTTGAAAAATAAATAAACCTTATGGATCTACTGATATTTATTGGTCAGGACAACTTATGCATATTACATAATATTGTTAATGTAGGCTCAAAGAAACTCCGCCTTATCAAAATCGCTACCTTGCAGAAAAAAGTAATATTTTGATTTCAGTAGGCGGCCGTCAACTTGCTCATATCTACCCTTCTTGCACTCATTGGAGTACCACATCTATATCACTACCACTGAAACCATGAGTTCTACCTCCAGCAAACGCAGCCGTAGCGAGGAGCCTCATGAAAAATATAAAAAGGCACGATACACCTACCAGCAAAATGCCAATGGTTCAAAACACCACAAGAGGAACAGCAGAAATAATGCTGCTGGTTCTTCAGGGCCCTCAGTCAATGATCTCAAGAGCAAAATACGAGCCACCAAGAGACTATTAGAGCATTCGAAGACCTTACCTGCGGACGTGAGGATTGAGAAAGAGAGGGCCTTAAAAGGATACCAGAGAGATCTAGAGAAAGTGGAGGAGAACAGAGCTCGAAATGCCATGATATCGAAATACCATTTCGTCCGGTTTCTAGGTAGTTTGCTGACTATATCTATACGGTCATTATTTAATTGCCTTTGCTAACAATCTGCATATAATAGAGCGAAAAACAGCCACCCAGAACTTGAAGAAATTACGGCGCATGAAAGAGAAGTTGGAAAACGAAGAGGAAAACGGCGCTAACGAGAAGAATCCCACAACCAAATCCAGAGCTGATCGATTGGCAGAACTTGAGAAACAAATATATTCTACTGAAGTAGATATAAACTACGCCAAGTACAGCCCGCTAACGGAGAAGTACATATCGTTATTTCCCAGCGACAAATCTAAGGATAAAGAAGGGCGGAAGAAGAATAGAAAGGATGGTGATGATGGCGAGGAACAACAGGGAGAGATTGAAGATGGAGAAGAGGAAAACCAGGAGAAATCCGCACTCGGACAGAAATTGGCCCCAATTCGATATGCGTCGAGCGAGAGGCCGCCGCTCTGGTACGCTGTGGAGCAAAGCATGAAAGATGGAACGCTGGAATTACTACGGGAAGGTAAATTGGGGATTACAGTTACGGGGGAGAGGAAGGGAGTCAATGCTGGAATTAAGGAGGGTGATATGGCCTCTGGTCGGAGCAAGGCAAAGGGAAGCTATTCGACCATGTCAACCAAGGAAATCCAGGGCGGAGTGTCGTTGCGTGGGAATAATCAGCGTATGAACGAAGCAAGGAACGATGAAGATGATGAAAGTGATGGTGGATTCTTCGAGAAATGATTGAATTAGATATACTGTTTAATACCCTCTTGTGATTGAAAGATAGACGGATATATAATTTTGGGCACAAAGACCCTATGAAGTCCTATATTGTTAAGATTCCGGTTTCTCTGGTCTGAAAGGACAGTAACTCCGCCGCCCAGTCTAAAATAAAAAAAAAAAAAATAAAAAGAAAATAAAGGAGAGATACATGTTTGAGATAAGCACGGAATAACAAGGATAAAGGAATGTGCAAAACCAGTGAGCTTTCCTTGCAATTTGCCGAGCGAAATGAATGTGAACAAAAAGTAAAAAAATGTATCCCCGTACTCCCTTTCGTAGATGTTGCTGCAGTATATTCGCTCGTGAATAGATAGGTCGTCCGTCATATGAATTGGGGAAAAAAAGGGAAGTGATAAAAACGACCCATCGCTCAAGAAAAACATCAGAAAAGAACTCCTCGTAAGATGACTCCGGTATATGTCCGTATAATCCATAAGCACTGCAATGAAAATACTTCATCAAGAAGAGGAGGGCGAAAGATTGAAATGTTCACATGACGAGACAACCGCCACTTCTGGCTCGTCGTCTTCTGCCACCCAATGGCGCCAATCCAGCTGGCCCATAACCGTACTCCTGGTCTTCGTCCATGTCATATAGAGCTTCCAAATCTCTTGCTCGGCGTCTACTTCTCCTGGTAGTGCCGCCAGTCTCTTCATTGGCCATCATAAAGTCACCCCATTTCCTCTCTAGACGCATTGCGGAAGCGAGATTCCCGCGAAGTACTCGCTTGGTATGTTCGTCGACGGTCTTTTGCCATCCATAGTAGCATTTAAGGCTGATAATTTCTTTCGGGTAGAGGTTTGGGCGGGGAGTTGGCTGTGGAAGGGGGGAAGAGAGTGCCGGTAGGTAAGGAGTTGATGATCCAGAGTCAGAATCTGAAGTCGTGGTAGTGATAGAACTGCCGCTGGAGATGGTGGAAGCGCTATCATCATCCTCTTCAACAATTCCTTCTCCACTATCTTCCTCCTCTTCATCATCAGAATAGCGAGGAGGGGGGGATGAATGAGTTGGCTTTGGTGCACCAGAAGATGGATAAGACATGTAGGGAACAGAGCAGTTGTTAGAAAGCACTTCCCGGACCCCAGCCCAAGTTACGTTTCCACAGTCAAATACCGCCAGACGGAAACCAATTTTTGAAAGTTCAGGTCCGACGCCACGTTTTCGCATCTGAGAGCAGATTTCCATCAAAGTGAGATCGGAGATGCGGGTATTGTCCAAGTCAAGAGAACGGAGACTGGGGCATTTGCGTAGTAAGGGCAAGATTCCTGTATCTCCAATATTTTCACAGAAACTGATATTCAAATGTTCAAGGGTTTGAGAGCATGAAGCCCTGGCCAGCTCCGTGATGACATAGTTTGTTAGTTCACCGAGTTCTTCCAATTCGATAAACCGTAGTTTTGGAGTTGTATTGATGATAGATGCAATGCAATCATCTGTCAAAGTGCTGAGAAAGGAAAGATGCAGGCCCTCAAGTTCTGGAACGTTGTGTGCAAGGATCTTGACTCCATTTTCAGTGAGATGACGACAGTTGGAAAGGTTTAGATGTTTGAGTTTTCGTGGAGGGACCATTGGGCGGCCGGTAAGGATGTCGATTTCCGGGTTGATGCCCTGGATAAGTGCTTTCAGGCTGGCATCGGTGATGGAAGCGCAGTCAGCGAGGACAAGCCGCTCTAGCGAGTTAGATTTGAACAAATCTAACATTATACCCTCGTCGTCCCATCCTACAATGCGGGTGACTCGTAGATCCTTAAGTTGAGTGCAAGACTTTACCACACTGGAGAGCCCCTGAGTGTTTATCCCTGCACACCATGAGATGTTTAAAGACTCTAGCATTGGACAGTTTTGCGCGATAGCTTCCATGGCGGAGTTAGTGGCGGTAGAGACGCCACACATATTAATATGTCTCAATCGCAGGTTACGGGTAAAGAAGCAGTTAATCGTGGCTGGGTCCATCAAACAGTCTTCGATATTCAATTGCACCAAGTTTCGGCACAAGTTTGTCACGCGATCACCCTCTGTGCGCCAGATATCCAGCAGCTGAGCACATCCACGGAGACTTAGATTCCTCAAGAATGGCCCTGCAGCCAGAATCACTTTGAGCAAGGCATATCGAGGTATTTCCTGATAGTAGGTTGAGGTATCTAGACATGCCCAAAGTTGACCATCGAAGCACATCTTGTTCCAACTCTTGGACACGATAGAACATCTAAACAATTCTTTTGTGCTGAGAAATTTGAGAATATTGATCCTGACTTCCATAGGGAGATGAACAAATGTATCCCGACGCAGACGTCCTGCGGACATCTTCCTTACTGGCAGTGCATCCTCAAAGATATCTTCTTCCGCAGTAGAATCGAGCATCACTGCACGAGATGACGGTCGTAGATCTGCTGGAAGGGGAATAGAGGTCGGATTCTGAGCTGTACTGTCTGTTCCAACAACCCGGTTCGGCTGATGGTGATCGTCCGCACCGGAACAACCGCTAGAAACAGCGGGTGAGAATCGCCTGTTTGAAAGATCGCTATAAACGCTCGGGTCATCCCAGCAATTGGAGGTCAAGGAGACGCAGGACATGGATGCTCCGGTTCGAAAGCGTCGCGAGCCTTCTGAAGCAGACCGACCCCGGCCCAGCCTAGCCAGGGAGGGACTGGAGGCCATCCGCTGTATACCCTTGAGGAGCCTCTTGCGGCCTTTGAGCTTCTGCTGACCATCTTGCTGATTTTCGTCGATTCCAGGAGTGAGAGGAGGAGAGGACTGGCCGGACGCCTCGCCATCTGGCGGCGTCTGGAATTCGTCTGAGAGGATTGAAGCCATGGTGACGAGTCCAGCGACGCGGAGGAGCCGGTCTAGTAACCAAGAGAAGAGAAAAACAGTTAATTGCTCGTCGCCAACTGCTGGAGAGTTGAGTGGTAAGGTGTTTAGATTGATTGTAGTTGTAGCGATGAATAAAATTCGGTGTTTCAAAGCCTTGTAGTATCCATATCACGCCAATGCAGAGCAGCCCCAGCTGAGGAGGAATAAGCGAGGGGGCAAAACCACGAAGCAACCCTCCCTGGGAGATGTATTGACGCTGCTTGACCTGCTTCGGCTATGGTAGGAGAGAAATAGAGAGGATGAGAGGAAGGCGAGATAAAGGGGAAGCCGGAGAAAGAAAGAAGGGTAAGGGGGAAAAAAAAAAAGGAGAGAGAGGATCAAGTATCCATTCCGGCCCGGCGAGGAAGACGAAGGGTGGCAGTAATAGAGTTAAAGCGTACCACTGACTGACTGAGGGCGACTGCGAGTGAGCCAAAGAGAGGCGCGGGATTCTCTCAGGAGAAGGTCGATGACGGCGAGAAAGGCTTCGGCAGGCTGCGTTTACAACGGTCTCGAGACCTGCCGGGCTGACGCGAGCTGGCGATTTTGTAGTCGATGACGGCAGTACCTGTTCGCTGCCAGAGCCGCCACCATGCCCTGCGGACGAGTCACATCGGCATGGCACTCGCAGAGAGACGGAGGCAGCCAACCCACTACGAGCTGTCAACGGGCCTATTAGGGAGTCATGCGACTGTGATGGTGGTGTGGGGAGCAAGAAGGTCTCGAGAGCGAGCGAGAGAGTCGAGGTTGAGGCGTGAAGTCGGAGTTTTGAGGATGGAGTCGTTAGGGCCGTCTTGGACTGTGAGGTCGTCTTGCCTTGGCCTGTCTGGGTGGCCCCGCTAGCGCTGCCGAAGTCGACGCTACCCCGGATAGGCGGGCTTATCGCCTATCGATAAGCGGGCGGGGACAAGAGCCGAGGTACCGGGTACTTCTGCTGTCTCTCAACTCTTCGCTCTCTTCGTCGTCTTTGTTGTGCTGGTGATAGTTGATGAGACTGCGCTATATGGCTGCAGGAGCTAAGTGATGGTGACAAGTGACCGGCAGGCCGGCTGACTGCTGCTGTCCGACCCCCTGGGGCTCAGCTGATGCCTGCTAAGAGACCGTTCGGAGATGATTTACGCTGCACCCGCCAGGCAGGCAAGGAAGACCACGCGGGTCTTTTTTTGGTTCTTTAACTGGGTGAGTCCTGGGTGAGTCGGCCAGCCAGTCCGTCAGGCAGTCAGACACGGTTCAATACTAAGTTACGTTACATGCATCTTCCGCTTCTTCTTCTTTCTCTTTCTCTTTTTTTTTTTTTTTTTTTTTTTTTTTTTTTTTTTTTTTTTTTTTTTTTTTTTCGGGGTGACCTGCTTTGTTTCACCGGTTGGGTTCAAGTGGAGTTTGGCAGTGGTCTTGTTATCCATGGGATGGAGACGGGGTACAGGAGGAATATGAATGTCTTGGGCTAACAAACACCTGTCTGATACAGATAGATACACAATTGCAAACCAGCAGCTCACAGGTTTAGATTAATCTTGAGATGAAGGCGGAGAGAGAGAGAAGGCGAGTCCTTCCGAAACGCCGGCGGAAGACGAGAGTGGATAGATAGTAGGAACAAGGGGAAGGAGAGTCAAAGAAAAAAAAAAAAGGGAGAAATAAGGAAGAAAGAGAGGGATAGTTAGGTAGTTATCGAGATATGCAAAGAAAATGATATGTGTCCAATCTGCATAAACCTGCGTCCTCCCTTCTCCTGGCTTCACTTCCATACATACAGCATACAACATCATCTCTATCTTTTTCCTTTTCGGTAATTTTTAATCCAGTGCCATGCCCGCTTCATGCAAAAAGAGGTGAAAGAAATAGAAGAGGGGAACAAAGAAGTCGGGATAAGATAAACGAACCATGGGATGAAAACATTCTAAAAAAAACGTCAAAGATGGTGGCTGGATATCATAGAAAGAAAAACAGAAACATGGACAGGAGGATAGTTAATCGTGAGAGCGTAAAAATAGACGGGTTAAAGCGGCAAAAAATAAATAAATATGGAAACGTCCGCCGCGATGCATATAGTAAAGGATGAAATAGGACTGGTGGATCGAGGGCAGGGTTAGGCCAAACCGTTGTATGATAGAGAAAAAAAAAAAGGGGGGGGGGGGGGGGAAAGGTCGCCTATGGAGGTAGACTTATATAGAAAATAGCGCGAGAAAGTGACAACGGGAATAGCATGTTTCCTGGGTTTATGAGTTTATGCTGAAGACCGAGGCCGAAAAAGTAGTGTAGGGGGTATCGGTAGGTAGAGTAGTTTGAGGCTCTGAGATTATCGACTAGGAAGACTTGTTGCTGCTGCACCATTACTATTCCCGTTACCGTTGGCAGCAAGCTTCATCCAGGGATGATTCATTACTTCGGTAATAGATATTCTTGTCTGCACATTCCGATCAAGCATTCGGCGAATCAGATCAAGACAGTCGTCAGTGAACGGTAAGAAGGGAACACGCAGTGGGTGGTCCATAATTTCGTTGATGTTGTAGAATGGATTTTCCTTGTAGATTATCGTGTAGAGGAGGATTCCTAGGGCCCAGACATCTTGTTCCTTGCCGAGATACGGTTTTCCCTGTAGAACTTCCGGTGCAGCATAGTCTAAATCCTTATTGTTAGTAAACCACTAAGTTTTAAAAAAGAAATCGTGGTGGCTGCATGCATACCTATGGTGCCAACAAACACATCAAACGGGCCACTGCGAATATACGCGGCACTTCCAAAGTCAATCAGCTTGATCCTGCCTTCGCCATCGAGAATGACGTTTTCATCCTTGATGTCTCGGTGGACAACAGACGCCTTGTTGTGTAGATGGTCGATGGCACTGGCGACCTGGTAGAAGATATTTCGGCATTCGTCTTGTTCCATGTTTGCACGGAGCTCGACATAATCGAACAGATCCATGCCTGGAAGACCATGCGGCACCATTTCGATGTAGTAGTTGACATCATCTTCAAAGAAACCTTCCATCTCAACGATGTTCGGATGGCGGTTGCCTTCGCGGCGGAGGAAGTTTAGAACGTGGATTTCCAGCGGCACCGTGCCAAGGACCCTATCCCGAGTCCATGTGTCGACAAGGATTCTGTTCTTGGTGACGTATTTAAGGACGACCTTTTTCGACGGGTCTCGTCTGGACCGGGTCAGTTTCACCTGTCCGTAAGCGCCTTCTCCCATATCTTCCAAAATTACGTAGTCGGATATGCTCTTCTTGGTTGGGACTTCGTCATTCGCAGGAACGGCCACCCTGGCTTCCGCTGCTCGTTGCAGAGGCTGTGGAACAAGAGGCTCAGATGCAGCTTCTGTCAACTGTTGAGTCAAAAGAGATGACTGGGACAAGGGTTCCCCAGACGGCGACTCAACCTGTGGTATTCTCTGCGCCGATAGAACGGGAGACACCTGGCCTGGAGATATGGGCGGAACCTCAGACACTTTCCTCGCCTTGTTGGGTAAACAGAGCATGTCATCCTCCGTAGGTGAATGAAGCTGCCTAGAATATGACACCCACAGTGCAAACACATCCTCCGTAGACCGGGTGGCATTGCTGCTGTTGTCACCCTCGGAGGAACTGCTCCGGTCAGATCCAGAAGTAGGCTTGCTGTTCTCAGGTAGCGCACACTTGCTTTTAACCACCCGCATCTGCACGTCGACCGTGAGCTTCGAACCATCTTTATGACACGCAGGCAGACCCACAGGGCGCAGATCTGTCATTGTCAATTTGGACTCACTATGCCGCATCATGAATAAGGCTCGAGCCCTGCGGAATCCGTGTTCCGAAATAACCACTCCATCCACAAGGGGAGTGTCGTCCTGCTCAGTCAGAATGCTGAGAAACTCGTCAAAATGTGGCAAGAGGTCCGTAACCTGGGAACCCTCTGTTTTGGGGTCACCGAACAAAGTAGCAGTGAACGCCGAGTTGGCGCTGATGATCTTCAGAGTTTTCGCACAGAGTACCATCATGCCAGCGATATGCGGGAAGCAAGATATGCGGAAAGCATGAGATCCAGAGACAGGCGTCAAGGTCAGTGGGATGCTGTTGTCATCCCGAGCGCCAAATGCAGTGAAGTGTCTTTGTTCATTGATTTTAGAGAAGTCAGGCTTTCCGCAGCCTGTCGGAAACCGCTCGGGCACATTAGGTAGGAGCTTAAAGATAGAAGAGCCCCTTTGAATCATCATTCTGTCCCATATCTGTTCAGAATCGCCGCTGACGCTGGTCACTCTGCCTCTATCATCGAATTCCATGGTAACAGCGTGTTCAGTGATTTCTTCGACAACCCAAATCAACCCTCCTCTCTTCTCCATCACCCAGAGGCTTGCTGAACCCGTTGTGCCGTTCCTCTTCTGGATAGGAACGACCTCGCCGCAAAGTAGCACGCCACGCGACTTTTTGGATGAATGATTGGGGTTCTTGGGTTGTTTGGTTCCGTTGTTGCCGTTTCTGTTGCCGTTGCCGCTATCACTTGTAGCGCTTGAAGACGGAGAGCTATTCAGAGCGTTTGCTTTTCGCGTAACTCGGGACGGGGGTTTGCTCAGTAACTGTGCAGTAACGCCGCTTCCCAGGCCGAATAGCTTACCGGGAGCCGCCTTGCGAGGTGATTCCTCATGGCGGTAATCTGATTCTGGAGTCGGAATCTGTGTACCTTGAAGCTTCGACGCCAGCCACTCTCTTCTTTCTCTCTGAATCAAATCTAGAATGCTTATCTTCCTGAACTCACACTGGGTAACTCCGAATATGAGGCACGCAAGGTCGTTGGCTGCAAGGATAGTCCACTTAGGCTTGGTTTCGGTGGTAAACACAGCCTGCGTAGGAAGCGATGATTTGCCGCTGTGGACGTGCATGGTGGGCGTCATACAGCCGAAGCCAAAGGACGAGGTACTCCGGTTCGAATGGAATTCCACGGCGGAGTATGGCTCTGTTATGGCACCCATGGACTTACCGTGCTGCGACAGGGATCCGATATCTGTAAATGTCCTCTTCAAACTAACTCGTCTTGACGATGGAGCCGACTTTCTGCCTCTCGTGCGAGGCGTTGCTCGCTCCAACGTCACTGGACTCAAATGCTGTTGTTCCCTGCCAGCAAACCTATCCTGTGGAGACCTGATTTCTGCAGGACTGTATGTTTGATAGGCTCCAAAGGCACGGTCGAAGATATTCCCGCCTGCTTCGGGAACTGGCGGTCCCGTGGCTGGTCCCACAGAGTGATTAGCTGCATCATAACTGCCCAGCAGGTTCGAACGGGAGAGTATGTCCATCATCCACTGTATCTCGTTTTCATCGCTCATCTGGGCTGGGCCATCAGTCTGACCCGAGTCGTTTGTATGTAGCCCAATTCGATCCCGGAGAAAGTCGATGGACCGCTTTAGGAGATTCTGTCGATTATTTAGTAGGTCGTCCGATTGCTTCGCAAACGAAAAGGAGTGCAGTGACTCTGATGGAAATCGGTAGAGGTCTTCGACGCCCGGCGAAACTGTGCCGTCGGACGGGTGTGTGGATGGTATGGTGGATTTGTTTTTATTATGATTATTATTTGGCTGTGACTGAGACAGCTGCTGTATCGAAGACGAAGATGTCAAGGCAAAGGGGAGAGAAGGAGCTCTCGAAGATTGTCGTATGCGAGGCAGGCCAGACGAGCTGAGCCCATGGTCATGTTCGAGCAGAGGAGATCTACACCGGGTGCATAATACCACACAAGGCAGTCAGCCAACTTGAAACTCCGGTTCCATCGGCGAAGGGTAACTAAGCAGTAGTCTGTATCCACGGATGAAGGACTGACCTTGCGAGATAGTCGTAATCAACAGACGAAGTGTCTATGGAAAGGGACTTGGGATCCTCGCCCATCTCTCCTTCGCGGCTCGAGGTTCTGGTATCGTGAGGCGAGTGCATCTGGCTGGAGTCAAAACGCCCATCGCCGTTATGAATGCCTACTCTCTCGCCTAGCTCATACAGACCAGGTCAGTTATAAATATGATAAAAAAAAAAAAAAAAAAGATAAACGGCGCAAGAGATGAAGAAAGGTTGCTAGATGTCGCTGTGAGGGTGCCACAAGATCGTTTCCCTTGCAACCTCCGATATCTTTCGCCTGCGCCGGACTGAAATGACCGAGGTGACTGACCATTCTGATAGCCCATCCCCTCAGTCTCTGACATGACACAGAAGAGGGATACAAGAAGAGATCCCAGGCGTGAGTCCTTGTCGGTGTTTCTTTCTTTTCAGTGCTTACGGAGGCAGACGGTCTTCTCTAGATGAAACAAGCTGCGCTGTCCCTCGCGTTCCTAGAGTCGCATCGCAGAGCAAGGGTCGGCGGTCACGAAAGACAGACTTAAATAAGAAACGAAGGGGAAAAAAGAAGAAGAAGAAGCCCCAGTGTGGGAGCTGATGAAGGAGTGGTCGATGTGATGCTTGCTTAGTCCCTTACGTCACTGACGGGCCCTGGCCATGTATATATAGTGTAGGAATGGCGGAGTTCCGTTGGCCGCAAAAGGGGGCCGGTCCAGGCAAACAGTTGCAGCCGCCAGTGGATGCAGCGGATGCGATGCAGCGGTCTTCCTGTCTGCTTCCTCGTCCTGCTGAGCTATGCGAAAGGGCGAGAGGCGTACAGTTGGGCGTTCTCTCGGAGCCTGCAGAGGTAAGGGAGCGATGGCCAGCCAGCAACAGGGAGCTAGGCGGAGGACGGCAGCCTGGCAGGGAAACAGGGAGAGAGACGGAGAAGAGAGAGGTAAAGGTATCTGTAGACAACCCAAGAACGACCAAGACCGCGGTCTGATATCTCAGATATGGATGTCTTCGGGCTGCTTCTTGGGTTTATATTGACTATTTTATTATCGCCTGCCTCGAAAATAAAAAATTTATGCACACCAGACCAACCAACGTATTCCACTAACTGATTAACAAAAACCAAGTTACACTATCTAAAAATATTACTAAAATCCGTAACATAGCAGTCAGTTACCAGTTAAACAAGTTAAAGTGATATATAATAGTTATTTTTTAACAATGCTGTTAGGTAGTTATGAAATGAGGCTGTTAAGGAAGAGTTGACAGAAAATGTATCAACAAGCAAGTAATAACTATAGACAGGAATAGCAGGCCAGGTTAGTGTCGTATGGTATGTAGGTATGTACTGCAGGGACTGGTCCCTGGATGCAGGTTGAGGACAGGTTTGAAGCATTAAGTAAAGGATCTGAAGCCGGTCTTTAAGTATTAGTCTAGAAAGGCCTCAATTTACCCTGGGCTCTGCATTATTCGAAAGTCGAGGGCCTCGCAAGCTGTTACTCGATGCTCAAGGCACCTTCAAAACCCAACGAGGCCAGGCTGTGTATCCGTTCGCGAGAGTGGCTTGCTGGTTAGCGAGCTGTGTCTGGCTCGTGGTGCGAGTTCACGAGCCTGGTTGGGGCTGAGGTCAACAAGCAGCTTCTTCGAATAAGGCTGCAGGTTGCAATTCGCTTGGGGAAAGGAGACAGTCAACCCGTTAGCAAGTTACTTGTCTATCAAATGATCCATTCACTTGTGTCTATCACACGAGTTGACGTGGGAAGCGTGAAGATATCACGGGTGGAAACGTTGCTCGTAAAATATCTTCTATACGTCGATCCTTATGCTAGTTAACTACTGACCCGGGGACTGTTCTCGCCGCCGCTGCTGCATCGACTGCGGAGCATGCTGTAAATCAGAGAGGAGCAAACCTCCAGCAGCTGCCCGGCTGTCACTCTGCGCCTCAGGGTCATCAAAGATCGATTTCAGTGGTACTCGTCTCTGTTCGGGAGGCGCGGATGCGCTCGTTGCAAAGCTTGGCCGGGCTTGATCGTCGCCCAGGATCCAAGCGAAGGATGGATCCCGGACCGAGGTTCGTGTTGGTCGGCTGGGATACGCTTTCATCGATGCTGTCGTATGATTGATGTTATTTCCCATCTTTGCTGATAGGGTGTTGTTGTTGTTGCTGTTGGTGGCAGCAGTAGTGACGCTGCTTGGCGGTGACCATGGTGACTGCGGCTCCTTCATGCCAATCTTGTCTTCGGCAGCGATGGTAGCCTTTTCTTCGCCCTTCTCGCTCGACTCTACTCGCGCAGGGGTACGGTCTATGGCAGTCTGGGCTCTTCCTCTGGTCGGAGAATCCTCGCTGCTCCGAGCGTTGGATAGACGATGTATTTCTTCTCCAGTGTCTGCAGAGGCCAGTGGAATCGAGGCATCTTCGAGACAGGCCTTCACCTTTCGAATGGCAGCAACGGCATCATTCATTGCCGACAGGCTGCCCTCTGTCTCTGCGCCTTTCTCCCCAGCTTCTCCTGATGGGGCTTGCTGGGTATGCAATACATTCAGTGCATCCTCTAACATCATCGCCAAGTCTTTATTCCTTTGCTCCATCGAGGCCACCCTCAGCTGCAACTCTCTAACTGTAGCGAGTGATAGTCGGGGTGGGCTGGGGGAATCCCACACCGGACCATCATGGCTAAATAATGCAGAGTTCGTTCCGCCTGCTTGAAGACCTTGCATGTTGCGTCGAGCTTCAGTCACCGCACCACGGACGGCTTTTGTGACGCCCCATCCTTCTGCTCGACGATACAGGCCCTCCGAAACATCCTGGAAAATAGAGTCAAGGCGTTTCGCGGTTATCCTGTTCGGTGAGCTGTTCGGGCTATTGAAAATATCTCGAGTGATGGATCTGCTCTTGTGTCTACTGGGTAAGGACATCCCAACCCTAGGAGGAGGAGACACGTTATTTTGGATCGTCGGAGGAATATGCCTGCCAGAGTACTTATGAACAAGATAAGAGGCACCCTCACACGTTGAGTTGTGCTCTAGATAGAGACCATCGAGAACAAAAGTACGTGGTTTGATAGGTTCTGGAGACGGATATCTTAGTAGAAGGGACAAGGCAGTCGAGTAGTCCGCATCCATCACTATTCCTATCCCATCAGCATCACTGTTGTTGTAATGGGTATAGCCATAGCCAATACTTACACTGCCATCGAATACGTAGTAGCATTGAAACACATATCATGTCAACTAGTGATGCCCTCACCTTCTCAGCAATAATCAAGTCCCAGACGGCTAGTACATCGTCAAAGGGGAACTCCCGGCCAAACAAGAGTCTTATCCATCGCCTACACAAAGTCAGCTCTAACTCTTGACTCTGACGTGGAATAAGAACTCACGTCAAGAATATCTGCGGCAAGACTTCAATAGCAACAAGATGGTCAGCCACTTCAGGGTCTATCTTTCGCAGTATGCCCAGATGAATATGTTGGCTTCTCGCAATGATAGACGAGACTTCCGAGCTCCCTACTCCGCCACTCTTGCTATCATTATGTTCATAGAACTCCTTAGCAGTTTGCATAATAGCGCAGAAGAGGATAAAGGAGTCATGCTCGATGTATGTTGGATCGAGGGTCTGTAGCATCAATGCTTGTTCACCAGCAGCAGCGAAGGCCACGTCCTCATTCAGGGTTTGCAGATCAATAGCATCTTGCGTTACTACCCACAGTATAGGAGCGAGCAGCTCATGCATTCCTTGCCTATAACCCAGGTCTGGGTTCAGCTTGACAAACACGAACAGGATGTTGAGAAGCCTGAGCTTGACTAGCGGATCGTGAAAGAAGCTGTTTTCCTGGAGACATCTTTCAACATCCTGGGATATCTCAGCTCTGATCTGTTCGTCCCGTCGAAGTGATTCCCATGGTGACTTTGGGCAATTGTTAGTATGATGTTTGTACAGTTGTAGCCTGGCGCTGTGATTTACATACTTCAGCGTCTTCTGCCAACGGATCAACTGTAGATGACAGTTCATCTGGGTTATCAATGTATTTGAGAAAATGCTGCTTCACCGAGGTATATGCCTCTCTGGAGTCTGATAGCTGTATTGACCATTGGGTCCGATCTATCTCCTTGTGCAGGAGGAATGCCTAACAAGGTATAAGCATGGACTCAGTGGCAAGTTGATATCGAGAGGTAAAGAAAGACACACCTTCCAACACACTGACCGCAATCCATTCTCACACGGGTTAGATCCCTTCTCCCCGGTCTCTAAAACCTGTTTCAGTTCATGGAGAGAGTGTATCTCTGGCTGGTGGAAGGTAGTATTCCAAAGAGCCCTGGTGAAGAGACGGTTAGAAGGTGCGGTAGCTCGGATGTGCAGGGTTGTACAGATCTAACCGAGATTCCTCCACAGATCTCATTGCATTTAGCAGGAGTCCGTGGGACTCTGGCACTGTCTATATCAGATATGTTGGTTTATCCTTTTGGGGCTGGACTGGTTTGCGATGCGGGTGTTGTAGTCTGAAAAGTCACGCCGCCGCCTGGAGGTTCAAAAATAGTGACTGGTCGAGTCACCAAGCCTGAGCTTCCAACACAGCTAGCTAGCAGGGTATAATAGATGTATCGAGAGAAGCCTCAGCCCCCATCGTTTGAGTCTGCTCTGAGTGAAGCGTATGGTGGTCTGTCCCAAGGCTCAACGGGCAGCGAGTTGGGCGTTAACTTCACCAGAGTAGTTCTAGTTAGTTAGGGGGAGACTTTGATTGGCGGCGGCGGGCTTAGTTTTAACTAGCGCATGGATTGTTAGTTAAAGCTTTACCTGAAGAACACCCCTCTTGGCTTGCTCTTTTGCTTTCCTAAACAACATACATCCCCACGCTGGATAAGATATCCAAGGACGCAGCGAGGACGCATGGGATGTAGGGGAAGCAGTCCCGAGGGAAAGGATCCTGGGCGCCTTGGACTCTGGTTGACAGTGTAAGACAGAGAAGAAGGAGTGGCCACCGCCAAACGATGTCAGCAGATCTCTTTGCGGCGTTTGGACAGCCTGATTCCTCATCGCAGCCCACCACTGCCCCAAAAAATGCCAACTTGTCGACAACCGGCCCGGTCAAGGGACAGCCAGGTGCTTTGTTAGACACGGATGCCGACCCAAGAGATGCTACTGCGCCACAGACCTCGATATTTGAATCCTGGCAGCCACCTGCACTGGAGCGGGCGAGCAATGATGCCGAGGTGCTCTTTGATGCCACGACGGAACCACCTCCGGGTAGTAACGACGAAGACGCAGACGACGATGAATGGGGGGAGTTTGAGAGTGCTGAGCAGTTACCAGTAGCCCAGCAGGAGGAGTCTCTTGGTCTACAGCACCGGGTCATCAATATCAGGAGCAGCAGCATCTCCAGGAACTCTGCCACACCTCAAAAGCCACCATTCCATCAGGTTGCTCAATCTCAGCCTCAGCTGGAGAATACCATCGATCTGCTCTCTATCGACGATGATCCTGCAAGAACTACAACAGGCTATTCTACGGGTGATCGACCGGTCCGTTATCAAATAAGTCAGACATCAGGCGAGGAGGTGCTAGTTGCTGCCCCTCCTGGGAAGAACAAAAACAAAGAAATTGACATTGAAGAAGATGATGATGATGATTGGGGTGAATTTATTGATGGAGCCGAAGATGCTGGCACTAAGACCCGGCAACAGCCACAGCCAATCCCTACCTCGTCGTCAGGGCGCGCTCAGGTAACAGCAGCCTCAACAGGGACTGGCTTGAATATGGGGGAAACAGTGACACGCAAGGCAGAAACCAGCACCTCGTCGGTTCGACCTACAAATATTCCACCGCCTTCGATCCTCCTGCCGCTCTTCCCGCCTTTATTGGAAGGGTCAAGACGAAAGGCGGCAGGTTATGCAAAGCGGAAGGGAGACGGCAGCAGCCCGCTGCCTGATGGTGAGTTCGCCAACCAGCTGGTATCTGATATCAGAACCATGGCCCACGTCGTGTCCGGGCGCCATCTACGGTGGAAACGAGACCAAATACTCAGCCAAAGCACTAAGATAGGGCCCGCCCGGTCTGGACGATCCGGGGGCATGAAATTGAGCAGTGTCAACAAATCAGAGAATGTAAAGGAAGAGAAAGAGGCAGTGGAGGTGGTCGAGGCTTGGAAGAGGTGCAGTGGCCTGCTCAACTCGGTTGTTACATCAAGGGGGAAGAGCCCGATGCCAGCCCTGTCGCTGAGCATGCTAGTACGAACTGCTACTGCAGACGAGGGTGCGCTGAAATCCGCGCATGCCTGTGCCCTCTGCGGGCTGAAGAGAGAAGAGAGAGTGCCCCGAGTCGACGACGGGGTTAGCGATAGCTTTGGAGAATGGTGGCTAGATCACTGGGGACACGCGGACTGCGAGGCCTTCTGGAAATCCAATGCCGCCAAGCTCGATCACAGATGAGCTCTCTTCCTCCAGCTCGCCGAAGCAATTATTATTATTTTTAACGATAACGAATGGGTGATATTTTTATTTTATCTCCTGACATGGTTTGGCACAGGGAAGGGGAAATAATAAAGTAAAATATCAAAACCACCTTTCGGCTTGCCACCGCGCTATCCAAATCCCTGCATCAGAGTGAAGCAGGCCAAGGCCGGCTGGGGGTCGAACGCATCCTCCTTGCTCCAGGAGAAGGAGCCGGCAAGGATGTCCACGAACGAAAGAAACGTCTTTTTTCGCCCTTTTCGTTTCTCGGGAAATCGAAGAATGAACGAAACCGTCTGCCTCGCTCAGCCGGCATGAGTAGTCTCAGTCTGTTCTCCGCATGTAGACTAGCCAGGACCGGGTTCCAAGGGAACGTACCAGCACCGATTCGTGGGCCCGCCGGTTTGCCAGCAGACTAGTCGGTACCATTCAGTCGTCTGATATATGTACGATAATATAACGCCTTACTCACCACCGTCCTATGATCGAAGCGGGGTTTCGGGCCGTCACGGCTTTTCTAGGCCACTAAAAGACCTTGGGGGATGTTTCAAAATGGCTCATCGGCGTAAGTGGCTCGGGTTAGGTGATGTTTGATGGTACGATCGCAATGCTGGATCTTCGGTAGCTCCCAAGTAGAACGACCGTTGTACATACGTACCAGCCTGGGGTGAAACCGACCATCGACGGCGGTCTTGGTGCTCCACGAGAGATGCTCGTTTCTGCTTTGTTTCAATCCTGCCATGAGACACGCAATCATATAAAACAGCGACGGGGGCTTCAGGATCTGCCGGCTGAGCTGCAGGAGGGAGTCGAACTAGCTTGCTTTGGATGCTTTGCTTTGCCTGCTTTGCCTTCGTGACTTGCTTGCTGGCGTTGCTGGCTGGGGTTACTTTGACTACTAGTTACGCCTGGCTAGTATAGTTATCGATAAGAGGCCAACCGGCTTGGCCTCGGGCAGCAGCGAGAGCAGAGAACAACAGTTCATGCCGGCCGGAGGACATGGATGGGGGGCGATACGAGGGGGGCAGAGGGGTGTCTTGCTCTCTGGCTGTTTCGTAGCTGTTGTAGATAGATACCCAGCTGTAGATACAACAGAGCCGGTCAACCAGGTAGTTAGGTAGCTAGTTAACTATGTGGAATATGTGGAATCCAGCTATGTCGTCATTGCAGGAGGCCCGAAGAAACCGCCCTCTCAACGCCTGCGAATACGAACTCCTGGAGGCAGAAGAGACACAGCGAGCGATGACAGGCCCAGCTTCGACTGTCCACAGCATCAGGTGCAGCGTGTCAGGTCACCGTCTCTCAAGGCAGCATCCAAAGGCGTGACCCCCCGAGCAGTTTCACCGAGCTTCCCTTTCTCTCTCTCTCTCTCCCTCTCTCCCTTTGCCCCGTTGGCCTTGTCCAGCTTCACTTTCCTGCCTCCTCCTGCTCTCTCTGCTCCTGTCTCTGCGCCGTTCTGCTGCGTCTTCTTTTCTTTTTTGCTTGCCAGTCCGGGCATATCTACATACTTACATCCTCACGCTCGAGGCCGTCTCTCCTGCTCCGGCTTCAACCTCGTCAAACCTTCTCCTTTAAGCCGTCCTGTCTGCTGCTGTCTCTGGCTCCTCCCTTTCCTTTTCTTCACCAACCCAGCTTTCCGCCGAACAAAAACCCTATAAACAGGCAGATAACGCATCCAGGCTTAATATACCGTCCTCAGCCCCTTGCTACGATCATAAAGCGAAGCATCTTGAGCTCCACGAACCTCTCCGCCTGGCCCCCTGTCCCTCCCTCCCTGAGAGAGTCTAGCCCGGCGGCATATCTTTTCGTCGCCAGCTCTCCCTCCCCGTCGTACCCGTCTCCACCTCTCGGCCCCTTGGGCGATATTATTGCAAATTCAACGATCCCCCGGAAACGTTCATAAAAAGGGGGGGGGGGGGGAGATTCCGTCTGCTGCTCCTTTTTTTTCACTTCTCACTCGAGCAGAGCACACTAGGAAGCAAGTGGTTGTTTGATATCTGGTTACAGCGGGCGTGAACTCCCAGTAAACTTTAACTGAAGCCAGCAAAACGAACCCAACGACCACCCGACATATTCCCCAAGTCACTCGCCGGGGGAGGAAGAAGACAGAAGAGCAAAGCAAGCAAGAGAGCTAAAGAGAACGGCGGACTCTGTTCATTTCCGCTGCCAGCCTGCCAGCCTGTCTAGCCTGTCTCTAGGGGGGCCCTCTTGTGCCGACATCCAGGCCGGACTCCGAGCAACGAACCCTCATCCCTAGAACTATCTTAATTAGTTAACTTACAGCGCTTTCACTACCCAAGGTTGTTTTGTCTGGGTGTTTGTCTGACTTTCTTTGAAAGTTTGGCTGCTTTAAATACCGAACTGCGCCTCCCTCAAAAAACACCCAGCTAGGTAGTCAGCAAACACCCAACTATTCTGAGCACAACGTCTGGGACACAACCGCCACTGCCGCCCTTCCTGAGATATACCATTTACTCTTCGCCAAAAAAAATAAAGCATCATGGGGCTCTCTTATAACATCTACATCAACTCAAACAAGATATTCGGCTGCAAGCACTGCAAAACTCATCTTGCAGACTATCATGACATCATCAGTCGGGTAGGCTGCCTCGCTCACTCCTCCCCCACATGTTCAAATGTATAGCTAACGAGAGAAAATATAGAATTTCCGTGGACAGCATGGCAAGGCCTACTTGTTTGAAAATGTTGTTAACATCAACGCCTCTGAATCTGAGGAACGCAACATGACAACAGGCAAACACGTTGTCCGTGACATCCACTGCACACAGTGCAACGAGACCGTAGGCTGGAAGTACGACAAGGCCTACGAGACGTCAGAGAAGTACAAGGAGGGCAAGTTCATTCTAGAAGCTGAACTGCTCTCCGTCGTCTACTGAGCAGTCCATTTCTCTCCTCTCTGGGCGGGCAGGCTTTATCCTAACTCGGCTTGCTTCTCGACTTCTTTCTATTATCTGCCCAACACCTTGTTTCCTTTTTTATCATTTCCGGCAACTCTCTCTTTACTCTGGCTGTCGCTCCACTGGCACAAGAAGAAGATAGTTACTCGGCAAGACACGAAAACGCGACATGTTGCTGGAACGGTCATTTTACTAAAAATATGCTTTACAATCGGATCTCAGGACCTTAAAGATTCCTCCTTACACAGCTGCGACGAATGGCGTTTTCAAACAGGGTATTAATCGGGGGGCTAAGGTGTGCGGTGTGTGGTGTTTGTGCTTTCTCTCTCTGAAGTTCTTTCTCTAGGTGGTGAACTGGGGGGATTAGGCGCCGAATCATTTTACTCTTAAAGGAAAACTGGAGGTTTCTTCCTTTTTATCTGTCACCATCGGGATTCTGGCGTCTATCACTTTCCTTTTTTTTTTTTTCCATTCCCTTTTCCTGGCACTGGTTTGTCGATACTGCATTCTCCCCTCCGTCTTCACTAGTTATCGGAGCCAACCAACTATTACTCTTTTCTAATTTACCCTTTGTTGTTCCTAACTCTCCTCGACCCAGATGCTTTTGCTCTTGTTCGTCCAATTGACTGCCAAAGTAAACCTATCCTCTACTTAATACAACCTACAAGAGGCTCTGAGGCTTTGATGGCCGTATCTATGTATGGAGCGGCTCCACAGTACCAGAGTCACACACGTATAGTTGGCTGGTCAATTCACCCTTATATTCACATTGAAACCTATAAAACTATATAATGCTCATATAGTAGATACTATCTCAAGTACTCTATTCACTAAACATGTAGATACACACGTAGATATCGTTCAACCGTCCCCCGTCGGCCAACATCGCGATCTCACCCCAGCCGAGGGACGACGCCTCGGCCTTCTACTCAGCTCCCCACCTCATCTCTATCGGTGGGACCAAGAGGTCGGCATGAACTCCGTATATACAGCTTATTGCCCAAGGATACAGCTAAATAGCTGTCTATCGTCAAGAAAACAATTAACAGGTGACTCTCTTTGTTGGTTTAACAAGATGGCGACGAAAGATACTATGAATGCCGTAGTCTTTAAGGGCCCGCGGCAGATCGTCATCGAGAAGAGACCCATTCCCAAGATCCAGGACCCCAAAGATATTATCGTTAAAGTCACATATACTGCATTATGCGGGAGGTATGCCTTGCTATTATCTTATCTCTAAAATCAGAGATGCTAATTAAGACCTCATAGCGAGCTTCATGTATACCGGGGCCACCAGCCGTCCGGAGTCGACTTCATCATGGGCCATGAGTTCACCGGCACCGTCGTAGATGCTGGTAGGGATGTTAAGACTGTGAAAGTTGGGGACAAAGTTGTCAGCCCTTTCACGGCATCATGGTATGCCATTTACATCCTTCTACTCATAAACAACTCTTACTGACATATTGTATATAGCGGAGAGTGCTTCTACTGCAAATCCGGTTTCTCATCTCGATGCGTAAAGAGTCTTCTCTTGGGCTGTCCAGCTCTCGACGGCGGCCAAGCTGAATATGTTTGTCAACGACATATATATGTGAATGACACCTTGAGTCTCAATTTTACTAACTTCTCCTAGGTACGTATGCCACTAGCCGATGGCTCTGTTGTGAAAGCTCCAGAGGACATCAATGAGCATTGCCTGGTTCTAATGGCAGATATCTTCCCAACCGGATTCTTTGCCGCCCAAAACGGCTTCAAGCACTTCAAAAAGGAGCAGATTCCGGACTTGACCGTGGTCGTGATGGGATGTGGCCCCGTGGGACTCTGTGCTCTTATCAACGCCGAGGAATACAAGCCAAAGAACTTGCTGGCTGTCGATTCGGTGCCTGCACGCCTTGAACTTGCCAAGTCCCTCGGAGCAGAGCCATGGAACTTCCAAACTGATCGAGAGGGTCTTGAGAAGCGTGTTAAGGAGCTGACTGATGGGCGTGGAGCTGATATTGTGATCGAAGTTGTTGGCTTGAGTCCGGCTCTCAAGATGGCCTTCGATCTTCTGCGACCGTGGGGAGTTATTAGCAGCGTTGGTGTTCACAATGCTGAGGTGAATCCAATCTTCTATTTGCGAATGCGTTGTGAGCTCCCTCTGCTAACGAACTTGGATATACCTAGATCCCATGGAATGGAAACCAGGCGTATGGCAAGAATCTCACGATCCAAATGGGACGATGTCCGGTGAGGTCGATATTCCCAGAAGCTCTTGCCATGCTTGAAAAGAAGCAAAACCTGCTCGGGTAAGGATGGCCTTGCAATGCTTGCTGGGGGGATATAGTTGGCTAACTGGATGAATGTTGATATAGGTTCATGGCGGATAAGATTATGCCCCTAACTCAAGCGGTTGAGGGATATGATATGTTTGACAAGATGAAGGTCCAGAAGGTCATTTTCAAGGCTGATGAATGATGCATCCGCCTGTTGTGCTATTACTCAGTTAGGATATAGCCATCTCAAAGCATCTCATTCAAATAATATGTTATATCTGCTAGAACAGCTTGATATCGAATTCTTCAGTGAGAAAGAGCAGTAAAGGAAGTATCATTCTGTAGTCCTAAAGCAGCTAGACTGGATAACCGAAGCTTATATTGGACTAGGCCCGAAATAATTTAGCGGATGATGACTAAGTAACATTTCGCCCATTCCGCATTCTCAAAACATAAACATCAGAAACAGCAGAAGCAACGAGAAAGAATCAACAAGCGATAACGACCCCCTGCGCTCCTTGGAGATGGCCTGGATGCTTTGCTTGGTCCATAGATGGCCGATCCCCTACCTGAAGCCAAAAGGATGAACTTACAACGGTGGTTATCGGGATGAGGCCGTATCTGACTAACAGTCAAGTCTTAGGAAGCAAGAGAAGCGAGCATTCCAGTCTTCTCATGACATCCCACATACTCAAAAAACTGCTGCTCCGGCTTCAGGACAAGGACTTCGTGGAACAAACGGAGGGAAACGTTGTTATCCAGCCTCTTGGCGTATTTCAGGAACGTCCCGAATATGTTGAGATGAGTAGGGTGCTCTCTACTCCATTTCTCCAACGAACCGAGACTATCCCAATAAGCTAGTCCAAAGGTGCGATCCTTAGCGACCTCATAGGTGTCATTGTCCACGATGTCCATGAGTCGACAGCTATGGCATCCGATTTCTCTGCCCTGGTCGCGGAGGAAAGTCATACCCTCGATCAAGGGTGGTTGCATCGTGTCGAGGTACAGCTTGTGCTCTTCGGGGCGGGTATTGGACCAATCCTGGCCAGATCGAATGACGACCAGGTTTTGTCGTCCAGGCACCCGAACTCGACGTCGAAGTGTACAGCCAGACTGTTGAGCAGCTGAGTTGGTGGTGTCTCCAGGAACGGCATCTGTTTGGCAGATGGGCATCCGGTCTCTCATGCTTCCCCAATATACGTGCTCTAGAATTGGTCCACTGGCTTTTTCTCGCATACAGGCAGCCCCTTCGAGGACCTTCTCATCAGAGGCTACGGTCTCGAACCGATCTGTGGTGGGAGAGAATACTTCCAGAAACCAGCCGTGTTGCTGGTTTTCAGCGTCTAGACTCTCCCACCAGCTTCTGAAGTTGCTAACTGTGTTCCAACTTTCATATGTTTCCTGGCTCGGCCAATATGCAAGGATAGCAATATTGTACGAGCCGTTTGCATCAGTCACGGATGCTAACTCCGAGAATGATGGCCGTACCCCTGTATCGGTCGAGATTTTCACAAATTCTAGTATCTTGGAGATGGCAACACCATCGTTTTCTGCTGCAGACGCATACTGTGCGCCTATTATGGCCATCACGATGTCTTTGACATTCTCTGTGAATCGTGATGTGTATGCTATGGTAGGCGGCTCATAGTTATCCGGCGTCTTTGCAGGCTGAGTCCGCTCCTGGGTAAGGTGCAGAGGGATAGCTGATTCAAGCATTCTCAATGATAGATCTAGAGATGGTGATGGATACTATTCTGTGAAGAAGGCCCTCCCCCTTTTGGTTGATGGTCGACAAGGCTCGCTTATGAGTGAGGGGGAGAATACAGGCCTTATAAGGCTTTTTTCTACAGCTGGGATTGGCACCTGGGATAAGACTCTGCTGCATGGTGGTACTGCATCTGAAGTATTCATGACGCCTTGGGTCCTCTGCCCATCCTGAGGCCTGAGGCACAGCACGAGTGTGTAAAGAACGCCGCTGGTCTATCTGCCAGGGAGCAACACAGCTGCCTGGCCCTGCTGTATAACTATTTTAAGCCGCTTAATCCAATATCAGCCCGTCTCTCAAGTCCTCTGTAGATCGCTGCAGCGAGCGAGCGCCTTTCTGGCCGTGGAACCTCTGGCCTGCGCTTACATAATCCTCGTGTAAAGCGTGAAATTTTGGCCAAAAACGGCGACGACCAAACAATTCCAGCGTCTTCCTCATCTTCCTCCTCTTCTTCTTCTCTTCCTCTCACCACCTCCGTCCCTCAACCGACATCGCGAATCTCCCTTCTATCTTCCTCACCTCTTCCTCTCTCTTCTCTCCTCTCTCTCTCTCCCTTCTCCGCCGCCTCTTTTTTCTCCCGCCGCCCGCTCTCCCACCGCGAATACCTCAAAAACTCAGTCCGCGCTCACCGTCCGCCGCAACGCACACAGATCCTTCTCCGTACGACTGACTCGTCTCCGACTCCCCCCGCGGTCGCCTTCTTCACAGCTCCTGTTTGATCCCTTACGCCTTCAGGAACTCTCCTTGTCCTTGCGCCCAAGTGAGTTCTTTCACTCTGCAAACGTTGTATACAACAAGGACACAAAAAACCCAGAGACATCTAGAGTGAGTTTCCGCTCTTTGTTCGACTCATATTCACACAAGTCAAAAAGACAAATTCCTCCCTGCCGATAGATGGTCCTCATTCCTTCTTTACATCTGCTAAGATATGGTCCTTTCTCTCGATAGATCGATATCACAACTTCCTACGCCATACAAGCAATCATGTCTACCACCGAACAACGTGAATCCGGCCCTGGCCCAGCCGAGGAGACCCTCGCCGAGAGCTTCAGTCGCGTCAGCGTAAACGACCAACCCGAAGCTGAGGCTCCTCCAAAGACTGAAGAAGAGTATGCTCAGTCGATGCTAACTCTTCGCGCTATCGTTTCCTCCAAGGAAGCCGGTGTCATCATTGGGAAAGCGGGGAAGAACGTTGCTGACCTGCGTGATGAGACTGGTGTCAAGGCTGGTGTTAGCAAGGTCGTGCAAGGTGTACATGACCGTGTCCTCACGGTTACCGGTCCTCTCCAAGGCACGTCGAAGGCATACTCGATTGTGGCAAAGAGTCTACTGGAGGGTGCTCCCCAGATGGGCATGGGTGGAGTAGTCCAAAACAACGGTACACACTGTAAGTCTTACTATTTGACTTTTACCTACCGTTTCACTTAGAGTGCAGAGGGAAATATAAGAAATTGGAACTAACTGTGCTTGTGACTCTTAGCTGTCCGGCTTCTCATCTCACATAACCAGATGGGTACCATTATCGGGCGACAAGGGCTGAAGATCAAGTACATCCAAGATGCCTCCGGAGTCCGCATGGTTGCCCAGAAGGAAATGCTACCCCAGTCCACCGAGCGAATTGTCGAAGTCCAAGGAACCCCAGAAGGAATTGAAAAGGCCATTTGGGAGATTGGAAAGTGTCTCATTGATGACTGGCAACGCGGCACTGGCACCGTCCTCTACAATCCCGCTGTCCGGGCTTCCGTCGGCTCCAGCTCTGGCCAAGGCTCTGTTACTGGAACTAACCCTAGCTATGGTGGAAGCAGCCGATCATATAACCGCACCGGAAACGGTGCTGACTTCAGCGACCACCCAAGCAGCTACAGTCGACGTGGAAACAATGACAACCCAAACCGCGGCATCCCCCTAGTGACTGAGGATGGCGAGGAGGTTCAAACCCAGAATATCAGCATCCCCTCTGACATGGTCGGCTGCATCATCGGTCGTGGTGGTACCAAGATCAGTGAGATCCGACGAAGCTCTGGGGCACGAATTTCTATCGCTAAAGCTCCCCATGATGATACTGGAGAGCGCATGTTTACGATCATGGGCAGTGCCCAAGCAAACGAAAAGGCTCTTTACCTTCTCTACGAAAACCTTGAAGCCGAGAAGATGCGCCGCAGCCAGCAGCAGCCAGAGTAAAGCGGATCTCGCTTGGATCCTCTCTTGTAGGCTGTCCAGCTATGTTTCAACATAGCCTGACTCTGGAGTTTACAGCCTTTGCGATACCACTAGCAACTTTTTTGATCCGGGGGTGTCCTTCATATTTTTAAATCCCCTGCTCCGTTTTCTTTTTCCCACTTCCTTATTATCCTCAGATTACTTAACGTTTTCCCTTTATTTCTATCATTCGTCTTCAAATGCCTCCCCTTCCTGCCTTCTTACCTGCTGGAAAAAGGGCCTCGGACCCTCACTTACCTTCGACATTTTCATTCAATGATTTCCTCCGAATAAAAACCATTCCACTCCTCTCCTTTTCCGCCCCTTGTCTCTGCTATATCCCTGTCACACTTTTCGCGCTGATTACTACCAAATGTTCCCGGTTAGTAGTTATACTCCCAGGGTGTTTGTTCCACCACCCCTTCACTTGAAGCCCTTTTTTACCTTCATCTTCACCTTCACACGTTTTTCCGCCCCGCAAAAACCCTCATCCCCCCTCCTTACACTGCATGCTTTCTTCTCGTCACGGCCTCTAGTCTTCTATCCTGTGCCCTTATGGGTATTTTATTTATGCCTCTCAAAAATTGTTTCTACTTATGGAGAACGTATGAAATATACTGGATGGGCAACTACAAAAAGTATACCAAAATAAACCAGGTTTGACGATACCGGAAGTCTGAGTGTCCTTTTTGACTAACACTTTCAGCACGCTGTCTCTGGCGTGTTATATTCATTGTAGGAAGTCCTTGTTTCCATGGCCACTGATCAAGGATACCCGTAAAATCCAGTGGCTCCGGCTCAGGGACACGAATATATACTATATGATCAGAGCTCTCTAAAGCAAAGCAGTGTAGAACAGGGTAATGCGAACACTGAGCGCCATAGGGCGAAAGTTCCAAATGCTCTATGAGAGCACGGGACGTCGTACTTATAAACTAATCCAATATTTGGACTCGGCAACTGGATTTGAATAAAGACATCTCCTGTTCCTAAAGATTCCCATATAAAGGGCTTGTAAATGAGTCCTATTGCAATCGTCGCCGTCACACTTCTACATTGTCATGCTCGTGGTAGGAATAGGGTCGAGAATTAAAGTGGAGGAGATTATCTTCGTGACTAATTATATCTCTTGTTCAACTAGTTAATATGCAGCAAGCGATATGGGAGCAACCAAGGCGTGCAATGTAAATTGTAGAACCCTGTGTGTTTAACTACAAATGTCCTTAAGGCTCTTCACCGTATCCACCACGGATTCAGTCAATGGTCGATATGTCAGCCCAAGCACGTCTTTCGATCTCGAGGTATCAAATCCAAAGCGCTGCTCTAGGGGTACCCTACCCGGCGCGAGAGCGTCACCAGATGGCAGTTTGTCTCGTAACTCGGGGAATTTCTCAGAGATAATCTCAACAACATCCGCGTTGCAATAAGTGCCAGCAACAAGGAAGAATCGCTTGTTTGCTGCCTCCGCCTTCTCGGCTGCGAGGACATGAGCCATTGCGACATCACGAACATCCACCCAGAGAGATGTTCCAGTGGGTGGGCAGCTGTTCTTGCCCTTTCCAGTGATCAAATCACTAATGCGCTCATTAGAGGTGTTGATGGCATCCAAGGAGGCCAGGTAATGAACCACAGGGCCAAGTACAAGGGGCGGGTTGCACTAAGCAGGTAGCTAGGTATGAGTATATAGTTTCTTTCATTTTTCGGATGAAGAGAACAGGCAAGTACACGTACCGTTGCGAGAGTAAATCCAGGCTTTTCATTTTCGACAAAATCCCATGCTGCTTTTTCCTGTTATGAATACTTGTGTTAGCCCTGATCCAGAAATAACTATTATGTCGAAAATAATTGATATACCGCGAAGGTCTTGCTGCCACGATACCCAAAAATTGGGCTCTTGTCAACCTCATCCTCTTTGATTGGGTTCCAGTCTGCCTATTAATTTCGTTAGCTTTGACAGGTAAAATTATGGGCGGTTAAGGTCCTAGAATTTTCGTTTACCTCAGAGTAAACATAGTTACTCGGCTTTGCGGGGTCAATTATCGCAGCAAATGAAGAGGTGATGACAACTCTCTTCACTGAGGGGGCACTTTTCTTGATGGCATGAAGGATACCAGTCGTTCCGTTGACGGCTATGCATGTCATGGTTAGCATGAGTGTATCTTGAGTGACATCGGTGTCATAAATCCAACGTACCTGGGGCGAGGAGGTCCTTTCTAGCATCTGATATCTTGAAGTGGAAGGGGCTGGCAGTATGGATCACGGCCTCGAATGGAGGCTCAGAAATAACAGCTTTATCAAATGCTAAAAAAGGCAACCGTTAGCAATGGCCCAACAGCTCTCTGATGTCAACAAATAGGAGAAGGAAATTACCGTTTGGCTGTGCGATGTCTTCAACTACCACAAAGTCAAGCTTGTCTTTGCCAACCTGTGGATGAGCGTCGAGGATTCTTTGACCCTTTTCCTGAGACCGAACAGTAGTCACCGCAGAATGACCACGCTCTAGCAGGGTATCAAGAACATGTGCAGCAATGAAGCCGCTTCCGCCTGTCTGGGGTCAGCACTCCTGCTGTTATCTCGTTATTCAGGGTCACTATCCGATAGTGAGCTTACCTGTAAGAAGAATGCGAGTCATGGTCGTTGATCGTTGGTTACTTGCGTCGTGGGGTAGCTGAGTTTTGATATCTGATAACTAGGTAACTTCAGAGACTTGTCTACTCTCACGACAGGGCAACGAGTGAAATATATAGACAAAGGCAAGAACGGAGTTTAGCTGTTATCCTCGAAAAGTTGTCTTTAACTCATATCGCCATCTAAACTCCGTCTTGTCGATACATTCTTTGCCTCGCATCGCGGGGATTCTGTCCATCTCCACCTGAAACTCGGTGGTGGGGAACTTTCAGTTAACTAAATACCCGAGATGCCCTCATGTCTGGGCATAAGGAACAGAGCACGGAGCACAGGCTATGTGGTATTTAAATGGCATCTAGAGTAATGGCACGGAATGAAATTCTTCGTATGACTGATTCTGTATACGATGTTACATATTTATATGGACTGGGGGAATTCAATATCCTCAGTCCGGCTATTCGAATAAGTTCTTCAATCAGTTGCTGCCATGACAATGATGACGGTTGATTTATAAGCATGTTCAGGGCATCGAAGTCTAACTGCTTCGCTTTAAAACCGAAGAGATTGCCACTGCAGGTAATGAAAGATTTAGCCTCCTGATAATCGGATTATCAGCACAATGACGAATTTTACCATAAAGATAGTCTCTGACACAGTGTGTCCGGTCAGTTACATTCAATGCTCGACATCATATATCATACACCAGGCCTGACGATGATATATAGTGGTGCTATGTAGGAAAGAAACGTCTTGAGAAGGGAATTAGCATGTACAAGGCAGCCCATACAGACTCAAATGATACTTTCAGCATCTCTTGGTTTCCGTATTATTTGAATCCCCATGCTCCGGAGATCGGCGTTGATAAGACTGAGTATCTCAATGCTCGTTTTGGCGCCGACCGTGTGGCCATGATGCAGGCCCGCCTAGCTCGGGTTGGACAGGAGGAGGGTATCAATTTTAAATCCGGCGGACGAACAGGAAATACCCGTGAATCACATAGACTGATCCAGCTGGGGAAAACCAAAGGAGAAGCAGTCCAGACACGAGTCGTCGAAGAGCTGTTTGCATCGTATTTTGAGAATGAGGGAGATATAACTTCTCGTGATACCCTCGTCGCTGCTGGAGTGAAGGCGGGCTTGGATGAAAATGAGGTTAAGGCATGGCTGAAAAGTGACCAGGGCGGGCCAGAGGTTGATAAAGAGGTTGATGAAGCAAAAAGAGCTTATATCTCGGGTGTTCCCAATTTCACTATCCAGGGGAAATACCAGATTGGAGGAGCAGAGGATCCAACCACGTTCCTCGAGGCGTTTGAGAAAGTGCGAGCAGAAGAGATGTCGAGTTAAATCGTCAAGGCCCACGTAGGGCTAATCTAGGGAACGATTGCTAAATAATGAGTTAAGATACCATAAATAAGAAGGGCTTGAGGTTTCATTCTTACACAGGAATTAGTAGTTTCCTCCCCGTACCCATGGATCCTCGAAGAGCAAGTGTTGAGCATCGGCTCTGTCTTCTGGCATCCACTTCAGCATTTTCCTCATAAACTCAAGAAATTGTTTCTTTTCGTCCCCTTTTAGCTGGATTTCACGGGACTCCAGAGACTGCTCTGGGATTGGATAAATGTTTGACAGTTTCCAGTGACCTAAGATAACACGGATTAGTATACTCACAGCGCAAGTAAAGTAATTAGATGCAGGTATCACCATTTTCGTCCCAGTATTTCGGGCTCTCTTTGCTTCTCTTGAGAAATTCAAGTGGCGCGGGCCCCCTTAGGGATATCATCTCAGCAAATCTACGACCGTGATCCAACTCTCTTATAGGGTTGATGTTGTCAAAGAGATGGCGTTGCTCAAAAATTGTCCATATCTGTAGCGTAGTTAGATTTGTTGGACATTAGCATGTTATATATGAATACTTACCGTTTGCGCAAGTCCCCATATGTCAACTTTGTTATCCCATTCCATATCCAGCATCACTCCAGGTGCTCGATATATGCTGGGCTGAATAAGGCCCCTTTGTTTTGTTTCTGCACGTCGAGCCTCTCCCATATCCGAAAGAATTGGGAATCCTTTGGTGATATGCATCTCTCGAGTTAGGTATATTGTTCGAGAAGGTGTCTGTTTCCTAGAAACTGGGCGTTCAAGTTCATCCTGTTCAAGCTGCGAAAGCACAGATTAATCATCTATGCCCAGTAGGATGTTGTTTGGTTGTATATCTTGGAGCCAAGTCAGTTAAGGTTCCAAATATGTGTTGAAACTGAATATACTTGTATGGATAATTCCTAGTTGGTGAATATAATCCAGTGCAATAAGAATCTACCGGACAGCTGGTCTGAGCATGACCTGAGGGAGAGCTCCATCCTCTAAACGGTGTATGAAATCGCTTAAGTCGATACCAGTGGGCTCATATAGAATACAGCAATGTGTTCCGTGGGGCCCGTCAATGCTAAACGAATCTAACACTCTGCGGACATGTACTTCCCCCCCATGGATGTCTTCTATGCTCTTCATATAGTTCGTCAGCTCAATCTCAGGGTTAGGCCCCTTGCTTCGAACATTGACCTTGAGCGTCAAGTAGCGATGTTCTCTTGTGGCATGTAAGTAGCTTGAAAGAAGCAGATAATAGCACTTTGTAATCGAGAAACATACTGCAAGTCTCGACATAACCATACGGTAGAGGTTGCGCCGTATCCAAGTTTTGTAATAACTTGGTATCTCGACTGAAATGTCTCGCCAATGTGTACTGGATAGAAGCGTTCGGCGACGTAGTTGCCATATCTTTCCTCTTCTATCTTCTGGCGCTCGTCTAAGGCTGTGAAACCGGTTATGGGGAGGTTCTGAACAGCAGATGCAGTATGAGAAGCGAGTGACCTAAGCTGTGGAAAATTCTGACTCGGTGGGTAGGCATTAACGCTTATACAGGAGCGCAATACTAAGTGCTTAAAGCAGAACCGATGACTCGCATAAAGATAACGAAACATTTAGAGCTAGTGGTAAAGGAATATAACAAGTGCTCGATGGAAATGTATTTTCACGACGAGGAGTTGTGCTGCTACTCCGTGTTGTCGTTGGTTGGTTAACTAGTTGTTTAGGACAAACTTCCGTAGTTATTTCTGACACTTGACTTAGCACTAGCGAACTGACTAGTCAACTACGTATTAATGTCAAATATGAAATAACTACTAACCATTTGATACAAGAGAATAAACGAGCAGTCGATAGGTGATGATAATGGGTTTGCTAAGATATACTCCGTGCATGTGGAAGTCCCAGCTGATGAACAGGCCGAGAGCTGGCTAGTTAACAAGTTAATTAATCTCTGTAACTTTATTAGACTGTTAACTACCCTAGGGCATATCTTAACCTGCTGAATATTTCAGGTATCGTCAAATACCCGAATTGGAAAGTTGATAGTACTTAGTCCGTACGGGATAACGAGACTTTTTAGTTATAAACGTTGATGACGAGATTCCTCCAATATGAAGTCGCCGTTGGTGTACTATCGGGCTGAGAACAATAATTTCAAGAAGCCGCAAGGCTCCTGCTATCAGTTCTCCTAACCTGAGAAGTGCTAGTAAATATGGCTACCAATTCATCTGGCATGGAAGAATCTCATGATACCCCAGGTTTCAAGAACCCGGAGCTGCCTCAAACCCAGTCAGTACTTTTCACCAAGCTGCCGCCAGAACTTCGAGACCGTGTATACTTCTTCGTGCTTGGAGAGTTTCCACGAATAAAAATGGATGAGAAGCCCTGGCACTGGGGAGGTTCAGATGAAGGAAAACTTCATGCAGTTGATCAGTCGATAGCACTGCTAAAAGTTTGTCAACGAATGTAAGTGAAAAACTGTCTCAAATTAAGAGCTCTTACTGTACTCAGATTTGGGTAGTGAGCGGCTGCTTACAAGTAGTGAAATATAGACATTTCGAGGCACTCGCCGTTTGCTACAGGAGTACCATATTTAAAGTAATCCGTCCCAAGGGGATACTTACCTTGTTCCCACCAGCAGCCCACAGCAGTATACATACTTTCTGGATTGATATACTACTCAATTCAAAGTCTGAATGTGACATGTGTAACTACTTAGTTGACTGTTATTTGGACGAAACCATCTGGAGCAAAATAGTCACGGTCCTCAACGAACAGATGCCGAGCCTTCGACACTTACATATCAGCATCATTCGACGTAAAAATAGCAAGCCAGTAGAACATTTTAGAGCTCTTCTAGAAGAAAATCTCTACCCTACTTTAACGAGGATGAAAAAGCTGCAGTGTTTCCGGGTATTGGTAAATTTCGAGAATGCGGCACCGGCAAATGCACCGTTTGAAGTGATCTCCGGTGAATATTTGGCTGCATATGAGACTAAAGATGACCTTGAATTGGTATCCAATGAAACAGAAGAGGAAGTGAGTACGGACAATGTAGAGGATGAGAATACAGGTAATGTCAAGGAAGAGAGCACAGAAGATGTGGAGGATGAGTACGTTACCCAGCATGAGGAAAAGGCATGGGATATAATTGATGGATGGAAAATTGCCTTTCACTTAAGGCTATTAATGATCTTGGTGCCGTCCAAAGGGGGAGAGATATATCCAAGAAACGCATCTGAATCATTTGAAACACTTAACATTTCAAGAGTTATCGCCAGAGAGAGTTGCAAAGAGAGCTGTACTTGGAGGTACCCTTAGCGTCAAAAATACAAAATTATTTCAGCAACTCTGTGAATCCTATGGGATAACAACACAAAACATAATAGGAGTCTAAAAAATGTAAAAGAACAAGAGACACTGGATTCGTCGTATCTTGCCCGGTGTATCTGACTTGTCGGAAGTGGAACTTATGCTGCTGCACAGTGATGCCGTTGTGTTAATCTCTAATATGACCCACAAGTGCAAGCGGCGGCTCTGGGAAGGTTGGGCTGGGCCGGAGAACAGAGCCACATGGGACTGACCTATTACGACTTAGCGTGCTTCGGGCGGTTGTGTCCGCGCCAAGCGTAGAACCCAAAAGTCGAAACATCCCACGTCCAACGGTTCAGATAAATCTCAGCAGTACCCTCATTCCCAAATTACATTCTGGATATCATTCATGGATGTTATATATGATACCAGGTTATGCATATGCATGAGCACCCCCTTCATCCAACCAAAGCATATTATGCTGCCCCCGGACACTGTCTAGTATCCAGGCATCAATCCGAGGGAATGTCATGCATTCCCCAACCCTAGCCATACATCCATGATGATGGTTGACTACATTCTCGCTATCTTCAAGTCCCTTCTAGAGTTATTCTTTCTTTTCGTCTTTATTTGATCTTAATGCGCTTATCATTTGACTCTCCCCTTCCAGTTCTAAGCGAAATGTGTAAATTGGCTAGGAATGTCGTGTCCATCATGATGATGCAGCCATTCTGGCGGCAACCCTAGTTCGGACGCTTACATCAATTGTTCTGCCTGCACCTAGGCCCAGCCTTATGAGCTCTAGAGGTGCTTATTCGGGGCATCAGTGTATTCGATTTCCCTGAGGTACATAGCATACACCTACTTTGAGAGATACATAAACTTGTGGTGATTATAGCACCCTGTCTCAAAGAGGCCATATTAAAGGCTTAAAGGGTCATGGTACGTCAGAGGCATCATCCATCATGGATAACACTCCTTCTCCAACGAATCTGGAACCAATGAATGACTAGGAGCACGTTTTGACAAGCAGACAGTAGAGGAACTGCACCATGGCATTGCAGGTGTGGCAGGCAGGCTTTCATATCTTCAGCTTCTGCTTCAGTTGAGGGGCAGCCACAGGTATTCAATCCCACACCGGGTAGTATTTTTGATCCCTCGTTCCCAGCATCTGATGCTCGCATTTGGGGTGAAAGAATTTGTCCAATTGATAGAATCAGACCCTGCATCCGCACCTACTCAGTCCCTCAATGTTGCCTTTAAGAGGCTTAGTGTCTTTGCATATGGTACGGCTGATTATCCTCAGCGTTATTAGGGCTGACCCTTTTACAGGCCCTACCAGACAAACTGTTCCCAATTTTCTAACGTCCTTGACCAGCCCGGGAGCTAGCTGATCCCGGATTTACCATTGCTTCCCCCTTGTTCAACATCATAATGACACTCATCCTAGGAAGCATGTTCTATAACCTCAGCGCAAATACATCCAGTTTCTACTATCGCGGTTGACTTATCTTCTTCTCTCTTCTTTTCAATGCCTTTGCGAGTCAACTTGAGGTCAGATAGCTCCATATTCAACATTTGTCCTTCCTGCAGTTTGAATACCTGATTTAACTCAAATAAGAAATAGGTCCTAACTATCTACGCCGAACGTCCGGTTGTTGAGAAGTAGGATCGCTACGCTTTCTACCACCAATCCGCACAGGCAATCGTAAGTTACCTTTCTGATTTGCCATATAAGATTGTCAATATGTTCATCTTCAACATCCTTGTTTACCTCATGGCCAACCTTAGGCGGGAGGCGGGTGCTTTTTTCTTCTTCTGTTTAACTACAATTCTGACAACATTAGCTCAGTCAGCTGTCTTTCGCGCATTAGCTTGTTTGACCAGAACCCCTGACCAGGCGATGATACCCAGCGCTGTTTTGAGCCTTGGTCTCATGATATATACTGGATTCACCACGCTATTAGAATATATGTCCCGATGGTCGCGTTGGATGGCGTGTATCAACCAACTAGCCTACGACTTCGAAGCGTTAATGCAAATGAGTTTCACAATCGGGACTTTCCATGTGCTAGTATCGTACCTAGTGGCCAAGGATATGCAAGCACTCTTTTTCTCAGACTTCGTGCTTGCTGCTGAGATTGCGAGGCCTCCTAAAACTCGCGGGGAGGTGCTACTATTTCACCACAGAAGTGTCCCTACTAAGCTAGTAAAATTATTGTCTCGAGATGCAGAGAATCATGTCCTAAGGCACCTGGTGAAAGATATGAAGATAGAGCCTTTAAACAAGATGAACAATATTGTGGGGGGGGGGGGGGGGGGGGGGGGAAAATTTTTCCTGGGACAAACTTTTTTTTAAAATAAAAAAAAAGGGAAAAACCTCCCCCCTTTTGAACCCGCTGAATTTGGGGAAAAACCCCGGAATTTAACCCGTTTTTTTGGGTAACACCAAAAAACCCCTTTAGACAAGGGTGGGAGAGAATCACAAACCCCC